GCATGTTTTCATTTTTGAAATCGAACAATGCGTTTGCATAATATGGAAGGCAACGTTTGCAAATATCGTCGCCGAAACACGTGAACACCCACTAAATATGATACATAACAAAAATATTTTTCAGATATAGGTTTTGTGATATTGTTGAAATAATATTGTGATACTGTCCTTCTGGAGTATCCAACATAATATTATGAAGGAAAACGTTTATGAGACGTTGCATCAATATTAAAATCAATATTATTAGATAATATTGTAATATGTTGATGTTGATATAACTCAGATAGAGTTATTGTTATGTTATTTGTGCAACGTTTTCGTTTCACCACGTTATAACGTAGCTTACATGTATACAGGATACAAGGGAATAATTATTTTTACGGCAAAGTAACCGTGTCAAAAGTCAATTCAATTCAGAAATCTGAAACTTGAACCACCCTGTATCTGTTCCGATTAAATATCAGTAAATAAATAATCAAAAGTTAAGATAGGGACACGTGAGCCGTTTTGACCGATAATGAATAGTTTCGACTCAAAAAAATCCTAAGGTTGAAAAATCTCGATTTTGAACACCACCAAAAGTGTGATATATTGATGATTTCCAGGGAGAATCTAAAAATGCGATAAAATACAGGATGTTCCATTTGATATATCAATGTTGCTAATACTTTCTAGTAGAAGCGGCAACACTGCATTGTCGATTAATAATAAATTTTAAACGAAGGGAGCGTATTCTAAAATATAGGCATGCATATTTTCATGAATTTCTCCTGACTGATTCTTGATGTAAATAAGATAGTGTAAGCTGGTCGAGAGGTGCTGAGTTCGTATGGGAACTGGCAGACATGGGTTCGAGCCCCAGTTTAGGCCATGGATTGTGTTTGTATGCTTCACTTGCGGCTCTTCGGAGGAGGCAACGGAAGTTGAGCCTCCTCACGAATTTTCATACATCGAATATTTCATTATACTTGTATAAAATATTCCACGAAAAGCTAACTTGCGTTCGTTTTACCGGTTTCATTTCGTTATATCAAGTAGAATTCGAGAATTCGGCAGCAATGCTTCCGTTACTCAAAAGTATTCAGCATCGAATACAAATTTGCGACTTGGCAACATCCAACGGAAAGTAGCCTCTGACCAATGAAATTCGCCAGAATCGCGATTCGCGAGGGAGCACGTGTGACTGAGATGTTTATATGTATATGGTGTTTGCCCTGATGCGCTTTTGGTTTGCCCAAACTTGATGGCAATATAAAGTGGAGACAGTAGACAGTACTGTTTCGACCCAGCAGATCTCATCAGCCGCTCTCGGTCTTCTGACAACTGGCACAACTCTACGCTTCAGGTAGAGGTATATCACCCATTTTGAAGACTGCTGATGATACCTGGTGGTTCGAAACAGTACTTACTTATACTTACTCATTCATCCTTCAAAAATCATTTATTCACGACTAATATATTATACTTGTGGTTTTTGAAGTATAATGCCATATATTAATCCCGCAGGGAATAAAGACTATTAATCCCTCGCCATTATTCCCTGCGGGATTAATATATGGCATTATACTTCAAAAACCACAAGTTTATATATTAGTCGCAAATAAAGTAGAGTATACTACTCGCAATAATGGCTATTATTCTCTCGGAATGTTACTCCCTCGCCGCTAACGCGGCTCGATTCGTAAAAAATCCTCGAGAATAATAGCTATCATTATTGACTCGTGGTATAATCTACTATTATATATTCGTCTAGGGAATAAAACGAATTTTCAGTAAGATATTTTTTCAGATTATTTTTGAATTTTTTTGCATCTTTGGTGTCTTTATTTATCTTTCTTGAATAATGGGCCTCCGGCATAAATTGGTGACTTTCTATATTGATATTTATGGTAACGACTCAAAAATGTATATCGTCGCTATTTTTTGTGGGGTATCTGTGGATATCTTTTTTTTTATACTTGTGTAGGTTCTGAAACGTGTATGTGAGAAGTTTGTATATTTATATATACAAGTTACTGTTAATAACTTATTATTTTGGAAGGTTTCTTTACATGACTCGTCATATTTTTTTTTATCGCTTGGAGCGCACGAGAGAGAATCCCTATAATGTTCAAATAACATCGTGCGTTCCTAGGGAGGATAGGGATAGGAGGTAGGTATTGGAATTTTTTTGAACTTCTGGAGATTATATGTTGTTGGGAATACTTCCTCAGGCAATGAATTCCAGAGCCCAGCCGTTCTATGGATGAAGGAGTTTTGATAAAGTGCTGTTCGGCATCTTTCGAGGTTGACAACGAAGGGATGTGCTGACTGGGCTTGTCTAGTTCGTCTGACTGGTATTGCTAGTGAAGGGATGATAGCAGAGATTTCCGAAGAACATTTCCCGTGGAAGTATCGATAGAAAAGTGGAAGGTCGCCGACCTTTCTAAGGTGTTCCAATGATGTCAAAGAGCGAGTGAGTGTGGCGTCACCCACCAGGCGGATGGCTCTTCTCTGGATGGAATCTAAGAGCATCAGCGTATGTTTCGGTGCTGAACCCCATATGTGGGAACAGTATTCTAGAACAGGCCGTATCTGCGCTTTGTAGATCATGAGGAGCTGTTGAGGTGTAAAGTAGCATTTCGCACAGAACAAGAATCCGAGTTTTTGTGAAGCAGCTTTTGCGATGGATCTGACATGATTATCCCATGAAAGAGTGTTGCTGATGGAAATACCGAGCATAGATATGGTGGGCTTGGTGGGGATGGTGGTGCCAGACATTACAATGTCGGGCATACTGAGTTCCGCCTTTCTAGAGAAAATACAGGCTTGAGTTTTGGTGGCGTTGAATACAACTAGGTTGTTGGTTCCCCAGGCTGTGATTTCAGCAAGGTCTTCATTGACAGCATTGGCCTGCCTGCGCCGTGTGTTCTTAGTTTCCTGGGAAGAAATAGGAATTCTGGAAGAGAACTCTGTATGGATTGTACTATCATCTGCAAAGCTGTGGATGGGGCAAGTTGTTACTCCCAACAGATCATTGATATGGAGAAGGAATAATGTTGGTGCCAAAATTGATCCTTGTGGAACGCCGGAATTGATGCCAATTGTATCAGACGATACACCGTCCACCACCACATGAAGCGATCTGCCTGAAAGAAAACTCGATAAGAGATGGCATAGCTGAGGTGGTAAGCCGTATGATGGTAGTTTGTGGAGGAGTCCTTCGTGCCAAACACGGTCAAATGCTTTCGATATGTCCAAAGCGACAGCTAGAGATTCCCCGTGTTTTTCTAATGAAGCTTGCCATAAATGGGTGACGTAGGCAAGTAGATCTCCAGTAGATCTTCGGTGGCGAAAGCCGTATTGTCTATCATTGATGATTCCCGAGCTCTCCAGATATTTGATGAGCTCAATGTTGATGGTTTTTTTCTCCATAACTTTGGAGATTACTGATAACAGGGCAATGGGCCTGTAGTTGTTGGGCAGGTTCTTGTTCCCTTTTTTGGGGATTGGTTGGACTCTAGCTGTCTTCCAGCATGATGGAAAAATACCCGACCTGTACGAGACGGTAAACAACTTGCAGAGAATCGGTGTTAATTCTGGTGCACAGTTTTTGAGGATAATGGGTGGAATTCCATCAGGACCGTTAGCCTTATTCGTTTTGAGACCAAGCAAAATTCGTCTGATAGTGCGTTGACGGAAGACGATTTCGGGCATTCGACTCTCAACGGGTGGAATGTCTGGCGGCACTTTTCCTTGGGAATCTAAAGTAGAGTTTGCTGCGAAAATCTCTGCAAAAATATTTGCTTTCTCCTGCGATGTTGTTGCTAATGTGCCGTCGGATTTGGACAGTGGTGGAAAACTATTAGTGAAATTTCTTCCGACCGCTTTAGCAAGGGACCAAAACGAACGGGAGCCATTCAGGTCAAATAAAGTACTGTCTCGCTCCTGCTGACAATTGGGGTAACTCTGTTCATCGTGGATCTCTTAGTTATGAGATCTAGAAGTTGAAAAGGTCGGTGGAAAAATCTACTCAAGTATATGTCAGGTAGTGCCATCTGTCAGCAAAGTGGTTTACTTGTACTGTACGTGTGACTATAGATAGCAGCGCCATACAATGTGTGTCGCGATCTCTTGATCTCATCTTATAGCTTTGCCACTAGATGGCTACAATATGACTAGACCTTCATGTTATACCCTGCGTATATGGTTCTTGTTACATCTTATTCTAATGATAGATTCTTCAATTCCCATTCATCAGCATCCCTTGTTGAAAGAAGCACGAGCCGCCACTGGTAGGCTTCCCTAACACTGCACAAGTTCCGACTTATGGGGCGTTGCAAGGGGATGCAAATATAAAAATAAAAAAATGCATTGTTCTGTAGATATATACTGTGTCAAACTTCAGAAATAAATCTATTTTTCGAAAATGTCGTGGAGGCCCTTCAGCCCATTTCGTTGGAAATTGCCAATATTCATCGTAGTAGTATAAGGATAGCAAATTTATTCATAATCAGAAATACAAAAAAAAAACATTGTTTTTTTGTTTTAACCAGTTTTATTATCCTGTATCTTTCATTTCCGGAACTTCCTTCATATGAACTTTTAGTCTAAGAAGTACTCAACAAATCTTTCCTTATTGAAGCTTAGCCGAATATATTTGAATAACACCCTGTACTTACCTAGGTACCTACCATCTATTTTATTCATTCCAAAATAAAAGTAACTACCTAATCTCTATTTAATTTTCAGATCGAGGAAAACCCAAGATAACCATTCAACAAACAACAAATAATGTCTAGGTAACCAAAGAAATTAAGAAATTATCCTAAATCAAGAGGACCATCAGTTTACGATTGACCCCAATCAAGGCCAAAGTTCATCGAGATAACAAACTGCTTGCCACAATAAAAATAGACTCTTCTATTCAGCTACACTGGGCAGAGATGTGATATATTAGTCAGCGCTTTGTGGCACATGGTTCTGAAGTTGTATTTTGCTTTCATTGGTGAACTTGAAAGATGAATTCTTGCTCAATCTTGTACACCCTGTCAACATGGTTCCTTGGTGTGTGCTACGGATTCGTGTTGTTATCTTCGGCTGCTGGACAGTTTAGTGAGATAAACATTTTTGAAAATGGCGAATCACTGAGATATACGCTGCAGTCGAAGATTTTGCTGAATGAGAGGGATATTTTAGCCAAAAATGTAGGATTTTATGTCGATGGAGAAGTTACCATTAGTGTAGTTTGGGGAACAGGAAGCCAAAAATTACTGAAAATAGAGGTTGGTATTTTTTCAATTCCGAATATAAGTATATATATTGTAGATTAATTTTTTGATCAATCACTGATAGGCTTTTTCATTCAGATGGATGAATATTGTGTAGGTAAAAAGTGATTATCCAGTTTTGATGCCACAACCGTTTCAATTCCATTTATTGAATAAACACATGTGTACAATACAAGGTGTATAAACAGAAATCTTCTAAAGGGGAATTGGACATGATAAAAATGAAAAAAAATACAATGTAGAACACTTAGATACACCACAGAATTACCCTCCAAGGAAGCCCTCAGAGGCGGCCGATGTAGGCCTCGCCGATGATTTTTATCTAGCAATCCTGATGACAGTCATGATGGAGCTGACACCTAGGAGTACACCTTAAATCCAGCTCATGTCAGTGAGTTGCCCAGGGCTGAAAAGATTGATCGTCGATTGCTACCTTGTTATCTCTAATTTAGCATTTTTGTGTTGGAAAATAAAAATAAAAAACCAACTTTCAAAAATTATCTGCGGAAGACTGATGTCACAACCGTTGAATGGTCATAACGGTACTTTTGAAATTCTATCATTCTATAAACCAAAAAACGCCATAGGTATTACCATTTTTCTTGACATCTCATATACAGTCGCATTCAAAAAAAAAAGCGTACAAGTATATTTCAGAGAGAAATCAACGTCATCCTATAAAACGGGCTATCGGGGTTCTCGAAAACACAAAGCATTGGCTGAGCCAGTTTTACACAACTAGAACTAGGATCCCGAAATCCTCTCTTTTTACTACTTGTACCCTTTTTTATTGAATACGATTGTACATCGTTGAACAAAAATAATGAATTTTCATAAATGCATTTTCAAGCTCTGTGTAGAATTTGATTATATAACTCGTTATATATAATGTCTGTTCGAGAAATTGAAAAAAAAAACATATAAATGTTAATCTTTGACACCCTGTCTGTATTATATGAAATGGCGCAAAAAGTTATATTATTTTTGTTGAAGTGCGATTAGAGAAAACTTTAACTCATGATAGACTCGCAAGCTGAAACAATGTTAATTGTTTACTACTAGAATCTGGACAACCCTATATAATTTTTTTTCTACTCACATAACTAAAATGGCATTTAGCGTACGGATATGTACCACGCTAAATGATCGATTAATCACGGATTGTGGATCTGTGATTTATTCAAAATATTTAACACGTTACCATGGCAACACGATTTCTTAAACACATTACCATGGCAACGCAGTTCATTAAACACAGCTTCAGTAATTTGAGACATGTCTGGCCTGTCGATTGTATTAACTGTCAACTGTTATTTTCGAATTTTGTATCAGAATTATTCAAACAATATTCGTTTGTATCAGAATTCTTCATTAAAAATATATGCGAAAAGTAGACGAAAGAAAAATCGAAGAGAATGTTCTGGTACTCGCATATCTCCAAGAAGTGTAAACATGAAGCATCCATCTTTGGGAACAATTTATTTATTCTGCGCTAAGCATGACAATAAACGTGAAACAAAGGTTAGTAAGCAATGGACTGGACACATCCACAACCAATATCACTTATACGTGTCTCGCTGGTTGCATGCAGTTGCATGTATTATGTTCTCAATTCCCATTCCTTTCGAATTATTTTGTAGATAAGCAGGAATTGTAGGTATGTTAATGTAATATTTGGGGTTCGTAGAAAAATCATAGTATGTAACGCGTTTATAAACTCTTCTAGACACTCGTTTATTAAACACTCGCTCCGCTCGTGCTTAAAATACTCGTTACTAAAAGGACGTTTATAACACTTGTTACATAATATACTATTTTCTACTCACATAACTAAAATGGCATTTAGCGTACGGATATGTACCACGCTAAATGATCGATTAATCACGGATTGTCGATCTGTGATTTATTCAAAATATTAAACACGTTACCATGGCAACACGATTTCTTAAACACATTACCATGGCAACATAGTTCATTAAACACAGCTTCAGTAATTTAAGACATGTCTGGCCTGTCAATTGTATAAACTGTCAACTGTTATTTTCGAATTTTGTATCAGAATTATTCAAACAATATTCGTTTGTATCAGAATTCTTCATTAAAAATATACCTATGCGAAAAGTAGACGAGAGTGAAATCGAAGAGAATGTTCTGGTACTTGCATATCTCCAAGAAGTGTAAAAATGAAGCATCCATCTTTGAGAACAATTTATTTATTCTGCGCTAAGCATGACAATAAACGTGAAACAAAGGTTAGTAAGCAATGGACTGGACACATCTACAACCAATATCACTTATATGTGTCTCGCTGGTTGCATGCAGTTGCATGTATGATGTTCTCAATTCCCATTCCTTTCGAACTATTTTGTAGGTTAGCAGGAATTGCAGGTTTGTTAATGTAATTTTCGGAGTTCGTAGAAAAATCATGGTATGTAGGATATGTTCCGTTAATCAACCAAGGTTACCGATGCTTCCAGGGCCGGTACCAACAATCTTGACAGTGGGGATCTACTGGTGACTACGATTGTGGTTTATTTACGGAATGCCAGTCATTAATCAAATTATTGTTTTAATAGTTGTTTTAGCATTCAGGATTCATGCTCTTCCAGTATTTGATTTTCAATTATGGCACCCAAACGTCCCTGATTTTTATGCACAGTGAGCACAAGCGAAAGATGTAGTGTCCTGGAATAGAAACAAAAACGTCATCAAACTGAAGATATATCGAATATTATTAATTTACCTCAGAAAACGAATCAATTGAAACTTAACTCGACAATTGTAATGGGAATATTGTTCTTCGTTGTAATTTGCAAATCAAAGAATCAAACTGAAAACTAAAACAAGTCAATGTCAACTCAAACTTACCGAACTCACCAGAGAAAATCCACGGTCGTTCTGGTAACAGTAAATAAGCTTCTTTCAGGTAGAGTCCCTGTATATAACTTAGACAAGAGTCCGGACACAGCTATACTTCTGTCCTTTTCTGTTTTCAAAAAATGCATTGATGATTGAATAAAGGAATAAGACATATATATCGAGCTCTGTCTTCTCAATTCCCCTAGTATCAATGATTGTCAGAAACCCTTTTGAGGGTTAGATTATTTGTCAAACCGTTCATAGCCGTAGGTAGAAGTGAGAAATAGAATAACTATTAGATTTTCGAATAATGAACAACAGGGTGTTCAAATTTCGAATCGATAATTTTCATAATCAATTCCTGAGATGGCTATTGCAAATTTTTGTCATCAGATATTTCTTCACTTCATTAGATATAAGAAAGATAATTCAAGTGTTCTACGTGGTATCACATATAGCCAAGAAAATATAGTTGTTTTCTGTTGGGATATAAAAAAATTGAAGATATATAATTGTTTCAATATAATTTTCTCCGATTCTCTCAATTTAATAACACTCATCAGAAACAAAAGTGACAAAATCAAAACAACAATATATTTGATAGCGAGTGCTTTATTAATTGTGTTTCCCACCTCTTTCTGCAGTCTACATTCACCTATACATTTTGAATTTGATCTGAATTAATAACACCGTGGACTGAGGATATAGCACATTCCAGTTTCCCTGAATCTTCTAGTTTTGATTTAAAACTTTCAATTTCTTTCCGCATCATCTCATTCTCATTTTCTTTTTCTGCGAACGTATCATTCAGTAATTCCCAATACGATGACGACGGGGCTCTTTTTTTGAACGTCTCTATTTCATAAATTGACGGCACAGCAGACTCTTTCAATTTGAAATCCATCAGCTTGAAAAAATCTCTATCAAAATGGGCCTAAAATGCATCTTTGTACTGTTTTCACAAGTAAATTTGAATATTTACCTCACATATTGCGGATTTCTTGAAATTAATTTTCCATTCTGGACGTTTCATTGCATTCTTCCATGACATTGTCTTTGAAGGATCATTCGGAGAATTGAATAACTTGAATCCCTTTTCTAATAAATTATCGCAATAATGTACGCAGCAGGACATTGAAATAATTTAAAATGCTAAATTTTGGCGGTCATAAAATTTCAAAGTGACAGTGACAGACATTCGGAATAATTAAAAGAAGCGGGCGGGACGACTATGGTGTTTCGTCACATTGTCAGGTGGGCAAACCAAATGAAACAAAATATTAAAAACCCCAACGGCTGTCAGTTTTGTGTCCGGACTCTTGTCTAAGGTATATACAGGGACTCTACTTTCAGGAACCAACCGAACATTTCATATTTACGGAACGAAAAACTATTAACCGAAATAACCAAGTTGATTTACGGAACATACCCGTAACGCGTTTATAAACTCTTCTAGACACTCGTTACTAAAAGGACGTTTATAACACTTGTTACATAATATACTATTTTAATGACATTGCTTATGCATATCCCATATCGATGTTAAACATTTTGATCTTGCTGTGTACTGAGACGTAGTGTCCGACCACGTTAACTTTGGGACATCACGTGGTCGCCTGTATGCATCGAATAATATGCAGTGATATGCATATGCGTTGAGTCAAGTTATCCATTTAAGTATGTTAATTCAGATTATTTATTTCTTTCAGCTCACTTCACCACAACTTCATATCCGATCGAGAAAAACTTCATCTTCAGATGGATTCATTCCTCATAGTTCTAAATTAGATGGTGTTCTGAATAAACCGTTCTTGGTCGTTTGGAATAATGGGAAGATTGAAAAAGTTTTACTAGCCAAAGGAGAAACAACGTCTTTGATTAATTTGAAGAAAGGAATCGCTAGTTTGTTCCAGGTGTGTATCTAACCTATATTATATTTTATTCCACACACCTCCCAATATTCGATATACATATATGCATCAAGCTCCCTCCTTGATTAGCACACATCATGAAAAAAGAACTGGATCCCATAACCAGGATATCTAGGATCAGTTGCACTTGTTCTGCTGACAATTATAGTATAGGTAACTCATCAACACTTCGGGTATATTAAACCATGGAATCACTATCACTTATGTATGCCACCGAAGATCAACTGGAAATTTGCTTGCCTACGTCACCCATATATGGCAAGGTTCTTAAGAAAAACATGTGGGATCTCTAGATATACAGTGTGTCCACCTTAAGGACTTACCAGCCCTGTAAAATCGTTATTATCCGACCAATTTCAAAAAACCTTTTTTTGTTAGATAGGTATTTGAAATGCTCATCCAACGAGAGAGTGATCTAATTCTTGGACTGTTATCGTGGCCAACTGCGACAAATTTCAATGACCCATAATCCAGGAAGTACTATTAGGGATTTTTTTCCACGAAACTTGATGATGGATTCTGAATCAGTACCACTTGAAATACACCTGTACCGATTTTCATCATCATAAAACACAGAGTGTCCGAAAAAACGAATCATCATTTTCTTCAAAGAGGTGATCAGCAAATGTAGTTCTGTGGTTTTTCTAGAAAGAAATAATCACAAATTATCATTGAGGATTATTCCAAATATACCTGTACCAATTTTCGTCATTTGAATATACAATGTGTCTGAGAAAAAAATTAAAAAGGATAGGTAAGCAATATTTTTCATCCTGATAATTCTTCACTCAAAATAGAAAGATGAATCAGGATCACTTGGAACATACCTGTACTGATTTTCATCATCATTAAACACAGGGTGTTCGAAAAATCAAATTAATATTTTTTTTGAGTTCATGAAAAAATATTGGCTACTTTTCCTTTTTAATTGTTTTCTCATACACATCGTATTTTTGAATGATGAAAATCGGTACAGATATCAAAGTGATCCTCAATAATAATGTGTCATCAATTCTTCTCAATAATACCACAATACTACATTTTCTGATCACCTATTAAAAAAAAAAAACATAATTCGTTTTTTCGGACACCCTGTGTTTTATGATGATAAAAATCAGTAATGGTGTTTTTCAAGTGATCGTGTATCAGAATCCATCATTGTTTTTTGTGAAAAAAAATCCCTAATAGTACTTTCTCAAATATGGGTCAATAAAGTTGGTCGCAGTTGGCCACGATTACAGTTATTGAGTAAAATCACTCTCTTGTTGGAAGGACATTTCAAATACCTATCCAACAAAAAAAAGTTCTTTGAAATCGGTCAGATAATAACAATTTTACAGGGGTGGTAAGTCCTTAAGGTGGACACACTGTATATCGAAGGCATTCGACCGTGTTTGACACCAAGGACTGTTCCACAAAGACCCATCATACGGCTCACATCTTTTATAGAGTTTTCTTTCAGGCAGATCGCTTCATGTGGTGGTGGACGGAGTATCGTGTGCCATCAATTCCGGCGTTCCCCAATGATCAATTTTGGCACCAAGATTGTTCCTACTTCATATTAACGATCTATTGGGAGCAACCACTCCCCCTATCCACAGTTTTGCAGACGTAGTACTCTCCATACTGCGTTCTTTTCCAGAATTACCGTTTTTTTCCAGGAAACTAAGAGCTTACGACGAACGCAAGCCAACGATGTCAATAGAGATCTTGCGGAAATTACATCCTGGGGTGACAACAACCTAGTTGAATTCAAAGCCACCAGCGCTCAAGCTAGCATTTCCTCTAGAAAGGCGGAACACAGTATGTCTGATATAACAATGTCTGGTATCACCATTCCCTCCAAGAACATTATATCTTTGCTCGGTATTACCATCAGCAATACTGATCTCTCATGGCGCAAAATCATGTCTGATCAATCGCGAAAGCTGCTTTACAAAAACTTGGATTCTTGTTCCGTGCAAAAATCTACTCTCCCAGATTCTACCAGTTTAAGAATATTGTTCTCAGTTCCCATGTATGGAGTTCAGCACCCAAACATACACTGATGCTGTTAGATTCCATCCAGAGAAGAACTATTCGCCTGGTGGGTGTGATGCCACAGTCACTAACTTTTTGACATCATTAGAACAAAATCTCAGCTATTATTCCATCACTAGCGATACAAGTCAGACAAACTCCACAGGCCCATCAGTCAGCACATCCTTTCGTCGTTAACCTTAAAATATGTCAAACAACTACCAAAACTCGTTCGTCTATAGAACGGCGAAGCTTTGAATTTCTTTGCCATTGAAAGTATTCCCAAAAACATACAACCTCCGAAAGTTCAAAAAAACCCAACACCTACCTCCTATCCTATCCTATCCTATCCTATCCTATCCTAGGTACGCACGATGTTCCACGAACATTACAGGAATTTCCTTTCGTGCGCTCCAAGAGATGGAAAAAAAATTACCGGAATCATTCAATCTCTCAATAACAATGCAGGGTATTTCAAAAATAAGAAGCATAGTGTTTTCAGCGATGAATTCTATTTACTGAATACAATAATAATTTCTTTCTCCAAGCGGCAGGGATAGTGGCTTTTTCCTGCCGCTTAACAGGCAGAAAATATGTACTTTTACTGCCTAGGCAGAAAAAGTTTGTTGCTATGCAACGTTCCAAGAAATTCTAATGAAATTAGTACTCAAAATCAATAACAATAATGATAATAATGATAATAATAATAATAGCGTCTTCATTCATTTAAAAATACATTTGAATTAAAATGTATTGAAGTGTTGGCGAAATTCGGCTGCAGCCGTTCTTGGGTGAACATAAAATGATGGAGTTTTCAAAGAAAAATCACACAAAATTGGTTTTATATCATTTGTAGAAAAAAGTCTGTGATTCACACGGCAGCAAATGTAGATTGACTGCCTTGGCTGAATTCCTATCAGCCGCGGCAGTCAATCTACTACTTTTCTACCTAGTAAAACAAATAACTATTATATGCTGATGACCAAAGTTACACCGAATTTTTAAAGAATCAAAATCTCGTACAGGTAAAGAAGGTACAGTCCAACCAATCCAAAAGAAGAAAGAAAAACCTTCTGAATAATTATATTATTAATCAATTTCATTCAGTAAGGACTATCTGTCGTCCATGAATTCACCATTGAAAATCGAAAATATGAAGCACCGTTTCCATTTATACAAAAAATTATGAACACCATTTGACTTTCTATACATCTATTTATCATCATCTATTATCATTTATTATCATCTGGAAAGTCCAGGAATCTTGCATGATTGATAAACAAAATATGGTTGTCACCATCGAAGAACTGGAGATCTACTTCCCAAGTTACACATATATGGCAAGCTTCATTAGAAAAATATGGGGTATCTCTAGCAGTAGCGTTAGATATATCGGAAGCATTGGACCATGCTTGACACCAAGGACTCTTCCACAAACTACCATAAAACAGCTTACCACCGCAGCTACGCCTTCTTTCATCGATTTTTCTCTCGCACCATGTGGTGGTGGACGAAGCATCGTCTGATACCATATCCATCAATTCCGGGGTCCCACAAGGATCCATTTTCGCACCAACATTTGTTCCTACCTCTAGAACGGCAGGTAGCGACAGATTTTCGGTCGTGATATCACCCAGTATGCCTTTTGAAGGTTATCATTATGTATATTTTTTGATGTTAACAAATTTAATTATTTACGGAAGAATCCTCCCGGGTTCTTCATGCATTGAGGCATGTTATCGAGGTTTAGGTTTACTTGGACATGCGCAAACGGTATATATTTTTTTCCGTAGCATATGCAGCCTGTTTGAAAACGAGGAAAATAGTAGATTGTTTTATTAGGATCAAAAGTGGCATTTTGTTTGATTGACAAGCGAATTTTGAATTTGCGAGGCGGAGAGTGTCTAGCGAAGCCGATTGTTCGAGTTCTATGATAGCTGGTAACCTGATTAGAAAACGAGTGTAAATGAGACAACAAGGTCTATAACTAGAAATTATTGCCGCATATACAGAGCGCACCAATAAAAATATTTAGGGTCGAGATCATATTTTTTTAATTGGAATGCCCTGAATATTAGGACATTTTTTGAAGTATTCCTGTCACTTCCATCCAGCCTTATAATATTGTTGACTATTTCTCGATCATATCAAAGTTATGATTTTTTTGTCGAAATAATGTAATCTGCAGATGCATATCGAAAAAATCACATCATGAAATTTAAGACACAATAATCATAATATCATTATATATATACATATACATCAGGGTGGCTGATGATAATTTTTCAATTCGGAAATTTTCGAAGTGAGTTTTCTCAAATTTTTCAAATAGAACACCTCATATATTTTTTGGCTATTTGATGTAAAATCAGAATACGAACATATTTATCTCAATATCCATATTGAAATTCTTAACCATTTTTGAAATATTGAACTTTGAACATTTCAGGTTGGCCATTTTCATCGATACACATTCTTATATGTTATTGAAACATCAAAAGTTCAATCAATAATTGAGTAAACCAATTTTTTCATTGAAATCATTGATACCAGAATCAAAGCAAACACAAATAGTTCATAATTATTGTTAGAAGAGTAGTCCTGTGATACTTTCTTATACCTTTATATAACAAGTGAACAACAACTAATAAAATATATACTGGGAGTTTTATGAAGGTATAAGAAAGTATGACAGGACTACTCTTTTAATACCCCCACTTCATGTGATATTACTCCCATCCTTTCGGAACAAATCTCCAATTTCTCATGAGTAACAGCTTTTGTTAGTACATCTGCGACCATATCAGCCGTTGAAATAGATTTCACTTCAATTTCACCATGTTCTGGCTTTTCTCGTACAAAGTGATGCTTGATATCAATGTGCTTACTTCTCGCTCTGAAACCTTCATTCTTGCTCAAGCCTACAGCTCCTTTATTATCGCAATATATTGTCATCTTCTTGGTTATTTCAGCTATCCCAATCTCAGATAGTAAATTATTGGGGAATATTCCTTCTTGGGCAGCGAAGCTCAACGCCATATATTAAGCTTCCGTTGTAGACAACGCAATAGTTACTTGTTTCTTCGACGACTAGCTAACTGCTCCTCCACCTGATATAAATACGTATCCTGATTTGGACCGTCTGTCATATAGTTCACCAGCCCAGTCAGAATCACAGAAGCCATGTATATCGTCATCAGATTTTCTAAATACCAGTTTGTGCTTGGATGTTCTCCTCAAATATCTGAATATTCGTTTTACAGCCCTCCAGTGCATTTTTGACGGATCATTACTGAATCTGGATAGTTTTCCAACCGCTAATGCTATATCAGGTCGGGTGCATTGTGCAGCACACATAATACTCCCGATTGCTTGTTGATACGGTACATCTACTACAAGATTTTCCCCTTCAGTATTACACATCAACTTCTGATTTGGATCCAGAGGTGTCTGTATGCCATTGCAGTTTGACATTCGAAATCTAGATAGCATCTCTTCTATATAGTTCTCTTGATCTAATGTAACTATTCCTGCTTTCCGATTTCGTTCAATGCGCATCCCTTAACAATAGTGCGCCTCCCCCAAGTCTTTCATCTTGAATTTCTTCTGTAGCTCCTGTTTCAATACATATTTCTGTCCTTCATTGTGTGAAAATATTAGGATATCGTCTACATATATTACAAGTATAAGCATGTGCCCTTCAGATATTTTCAAATATATACATGGATCTAATTTGGACTTCTCAAATCCTAAATGTTTAATCACTGAATCGAGTTTCTTATTCCACATTCTACTAGATTGTTTCAGTCCCTATAACGTTTTGAGTAATTCATATATTTTTCCATCTGGTAAATCCATTATAGCTCTTCATCAAGTTCAGGATGCAAAAATGCAGTTACAACGTCTATTTGGTCAATGTCCCAGTCATATTTGGCTGCTGGAGACAATAACAAACGAATAGTACGATATCTAACTACTGGTGAGTATGTAGTATGTTTCATAATAGTCTATTCCTGCAGTTTGTGAATATCCCTTCGCGACTAGACATGCCTTGTATCTCTCAACTTCTCCAGCCACATTCAATCTAGTTTAAAAAACCCATTTACTTTTTATAGCTTTTTTATAAGATGGTAAGTCCCAGAGAACCCATGTTCGATTTTCAGAATGAGCTCTCAACTCTTCATCCATTGCTTGCTTCCATATGAGTAGTCCTATGACACTTTCTTATACCTTTATAGAACTCCCAGTATATATTTTATTAGTTGTTGTTCACTTGTTATATAAAATAAAATAAATAGATATTTTATACTGTCGATTGTGTTCCTCATACTGTGAATAATCAAGCTCTGCTATCAATTATGCTAGTCATTAACAAAGTAGAGAATGACAAATTTTCATTTCCCAATTATCCTGGTTTCGTTTTGAATGTGCCATGAATTTATGAGATAATTGAGAAATGAAAATGTTTTCCATTTTTGCTTTGTGAATAACTAGCATACGAACACATGCTGTTTGCGTTGATTCTGGTATCAATTCTTTAAATGAAAAAACTGGTTCACTAAAATATCAATTGGACTTTTGATCTTTTGAAAACATAAGAATGTGTATCGATGAAAATGGCTAAGCTATAATTTTCAAAGTTAATCAATTCAGAAATGGTTACGAATATCAATATGGATGTTGCGATAAAATATGTTCGTGTTTTGATTTTACATCAAATGACCAAAAAATATATGGGGTGTTCTATTTGAAAAACTCGAGAAAAATCACTTCGAAAAGTTCCGAATTGAAAATCATTATCAGCCACCCTGTATAATTTGAGGGTATTGAAATTCTTCAGGAATATCTCGCGTCTTCTTATCAAATGATATTGTGATTATTTTCTCTTGAATTTCATTGTGACGACAGTGATTATTTCGGTATGCATCTGCAGATTACATTATTTCGACGAAAAAATTAATAACTTTGATATGATCGAGACATAGTCAACGATATTATAGGGGTGGATGGAGGTCACAGGGATGATTCAAGAATTGTGCTAATATACAGGGAATTCCATTCAAAAAAATTATCTCGACCTTCTAGATTTTCATTGGTTCATTCTGTATATGCGGCAATAATTTCTAGTCATGGACCTTGTTGTCTCATTCACATTCGTTTTATATTCTAGTTTCTAGCTATCATAGAACTCGAGCAATCGAGATCCGCGCACCAATGCCCCACCATGAAGTCATCTGTTATTATTTTCATATAAAATGACCCCCATCTTCCCTACTTATATATGTATAGTGTCCACGGTCAACACATCTAGTAGGAATAGAACTTTGGCAAAAGTTTTCATTTCCCTCTGAAGATGGTACCACAGGGAAATACGTACACAGAACAATACGTATCAAGGCATTGAAAAATCGGCTAAGTAAGGAATAAAATGGTCTACTAAATATGCAAACTTAGCCGTTTGAACACACTAAAGTAATTGTCTCTAGGATTGAGCTATTATGATGAAAGCTTGAAGAAATATTTTAAATAACCTTTAAGTTTTATTTCAGTTTCAAATCATTGATGGAGAAGCCAAAGAAACAGATACTTCAGGATCTTGCACTGTAAAGTATTCATCATTATCACCCATCAATTTTCAAAAAACGAAAACTGAATGTGAATCGAAAGACTTTCGTTACATCAAGAACTCTAACGAAATTTTGGGAATTGAAGTGGTTTCATCTAGGCAAACTGAATATGAGTTAGATTCAAGTTTTACTCACCTAAAGAGTATAAACTCTAAGGAAACCCACATGATTTACTTAATGATAAAAGCTGAACTTGGCAATTATGTCGAATCTGAACAAATTTTGTCTATTTTGGAGCGGACAATTATAACACCATTGAATAGTGAAAACATCGACCAAGCTATTGAGAAAATAGCTTCAACAGAAGGACTGACGTTCACGCAAGAAACTCTTCTGACCGAGAATGAACCATCTTCTGATGACTTAATTAGCTTTACGAAAAAAGTGGAGAACCTGAGGAACCATTTAAAACCTGAAAGTATAGGTACTCTCAAATCTGCTAAAATTTTTATTGAGCTGGTGAATGCTGCTAGAAGCGCTAATAAAGATGAGATCTCGAAGGTATTGTCTTCAAAAAAGAATAAGCAGATTCTGTAAGTATAATACATCGTTCATTATTTATAAATTGATTGTGAATAGCATCGAAAAGTGACACACTATAACCTGTTCTAGACAGGATTGCATGATAGCAAAATTCGTCCATTATGAGATTTTGATCTTAGTATTTCATCTACATGCTCCTCTTACATTCCTAGTGGTATTTGGAACTATCTTCATATATTAGAAACGGAAAATGAAGTTCTAAATGAGGGCTTAAATACGCTTCATGGGTCATTTACTAGGGAAAAAAGGCCCATCTCTCAAAACTAAGACATACTAGGCTTATCTGATGATTGAAAAGAATGTACAGTTGTGTGCATAAACAGGTCGTACAGCAGTTATAGGCTATTGTGAGTCAGACTTGTCAATCTTGATTAATCTACTTGTCGACTGTGTCCAAAAAATATATGAATCATTATACTCAAAAAAATATTAATTTGAGTAACAAGTCCGGAAAATATTGTTTTTTTTTGGCGAGTAGACAAAATTCTAAGCCGAGCCGTAACGTTACCACCGATACAACAAGGCCTGCATGCTCCGTGGGTGACGTCACTTAGTGAGGCCTAACCAGCGGCTCGAAACGACAAGCGCTTATAGCGCTATAGGGCGACCGCGTATTTCGATTTTAGTTTTAGATCATCATTGAGCCGATTTTGCTGTTTTTTGAAGGGCTTCCGGTTGAAAAAGGATGCCAGTCGTCAACTGAGCCCTTCTTCGCACCCCATTCGATTTTAAAACTGCATTTATCATGCGATGTTTTTTTTTGAAAATTGTTTTCGGTACTCACGTATTTTTGTCTGATAAGCCGAATTTTATAATGAAAATGTGAACAAACCACTATTTATTGAGATATTTCAAGAAAAAGTTCGAAATTTCGCCTTCTTTCTCCCCTTGTGTTGGGGGCATTTGAAGCTACTTGCTCTTATTTTGTCATTGGACACTTTATATACTCATGATGTACTTCGATGGCACATTTTTATATAGAAAATTCAACAGGAAATATGATTTTTATGGCGAGTTTTTCATATTTAGTGAACAAGCATTCCAGATGACGACCATTTAATCAATAGTCAATCAAAATACGAGATGTCAAATGTCAATAGATTGCTTTCGAATGACATTACACACGCCATTATTTTGAATGATATTCTTCCTTCTTTTCACTAAATATGGATTAATCTCAAGAAAATTATATTTATAGTTGAATTATATATAAATTGTCCAATATGATGAAAAAAGAAGGGAAATTTGTTCTAAATGCCATCCAGAAGACAGGTGAAAAAGGAGGTGAAATCTGGAACTTTTTAGTCAAATTTCTTCATGATAAATATCATGATAAATGCAGTTTTACCTTTTCAAGTAGAGTGTTTGTAGTTCATGTTAATATGATAGTTGCAATTTGATCACTGGAATGAATTCTGCATTCATTGCCACGAGGCAAATGACCGTTTTCAGAAAGAAATTTGAGAATGAGAATTAAAAATGCCTGTTTATTATGAACATTCAAGAAAATTTCCTCGAATTCAGATATGATTTTGTTGACTAGAATATACGAATACAAAACTAACTGCACAATCAAAGCTTTTCTATTTTTCCCCTACTTATACTTTTTATGAGAGAGTAATTGTCTTCTATTATTAATTCATCATTATAAATTAAGCTCTGTTTACTACTGAACTTAGATGGAGTAAAATCCTCGCGGTGAATTGCATATACCCACATTTTCGATAGCTCCTCGTCTAACGGGAAACTAAAAGCATGAACTTTTGAACCACCCACATAATTCCCCGGACAAAAGGGAACACAACACTTGAAAGGCATTGTGATTTCGCCGATCACAACACAAAATATTTCACAAAACAGTAATTTTTCCGCCAATTATTTTGATGAATAAACAACAAAAGAAGTCGGGACCGTTTCAAAAACATACGTGAATCACCGATGAATTAACACGAACTGACGCGTTAGTCGACAAGCGATAAAATAAAACACTGGCCTCTCTTGGTGACGTCACGAGCTGTTTACGTCAGAGTCTGCTGGCCTTGTTGTATCGGTGGTAACGGCCGTAGGCGAGTCCTGGAAGTCTGCGCGAGTCCAAAAAAATTGTTTTTGGACGTGTTGCGTACACAATTTTTTTGGCAACCATATGTAGAATAACAATTCAATGAGATACAAATCCATATTATATTTCTTTTTGGAATACAATTTCTTCTTTATTAATTCTTATTTGTATCTTATACTGAAATTTGAACAGAATACCTATATCTACTAACTGCTACATTGGAAATTTCGTATGGACATTTTCAAACTCACTATCGCTGCTGCTATCGATAGATTATAGCGATAATTTAAACTAAACTTTCAAAAATCCAATATCAACTAATTTCATGTCAAATAATACTGTCATCCTTATCTATCTACCTTATCTACCAAGATTTTCATAGTTTCAGTGACAAAAAACGATGTGATACTTTTTTCTTTTTCTTCCGAACTACTCATCTGGTCTTGATGATTTTTTGTAAACCGTAATTTAGTCCAACAGTTATTAGGCTCTGTGGTAGGAATATTTAATCAGATTTGAATTCAATCACCCCAAACCTTTTGTATATGTGCAATCTTATCAATCAGGAGATATACTTCTTATGCTTAATTTATCAAAATTCATGATCAGATCGGATGGTAATGATCGCGATATTTGGTCCAAGAACAATATCTAATTCTAGAATTTTTGCACAACTTGTATTCAAATGGATGTGTTTTAGTAACTAAATGGAATGAACTGATATTTCAGGCATCAATTATATGACATCTTGGGATATGTTCAAACTACTGAATCTCATGCAGCCGTGATGAAAAAACTACATTTCGACGAAGAAGAATCAATAGACTTGAGTGAAAGATACCTGTGGTCACTATCGTTTTGTGCGCAACCTAATCCAGAAATCATAACAGATCTATTGAAGAAATTTACTACAGTTGTTAGTATTCCAGATAAAGTGAAGGAGACGATGATATTAACTATGGCTTCTATGACTTACAAATTGACGAGAGGCCTAGGAATCGACTCAAATTTGAAGGTAATGCAACAGAATACCTAATTAAACTCTTCTACTCGCGGTCATCGATGCTTGTAGACACAGTGTGTGCAATTTAAAACCACAACACCCTCTTGATTCGAATCTTTTTGACTTGTTTCAGAAACAAAAACACTTCAGTGTAATTTCAGCGAGTACTCCTTAAAAATATGGACAAATCTGCAATTCATATTTTCAGGACCTACTATTGTCTTCTGAGGGTCGAAATTTTACGACCGACTATCGGGCAACACAATACCTCACATTGGGTGTTAGTTATTGTATGATGGCTTTAAAAATTTCTGTTTTTTCGATTCACATTGTATTGAAATCGATTAAGGAGTTGATATAAAAGCTGAAGTGGTCTTTCAATCGAGGAACAAACACATTGAATACTCAGACACGAAGTTTCATCGTTCTTAATTGTACAGAAAGACATCTCTAGGTCATCCAAAAATCAATGAAACTAAAAGTTTATAATGAAGCAATATACAGGGTGTTCTTTATTGATATTCAAGGCACCGATTATTCGACCCATATCAAGAATTAAACTTCATATGAACGTATATATCTTATAAACGTCCTAACTTTTCAAATACAGGGTGTCAATGTTGAAAATATGCTTATCTTCTTTGTCTGTCCACCCAGTAACTTTTTGTGATGGCAAAATGCAGTCTGCTATGTGACTGAATCGGTATGAAATGTGAAAATTGGCTTTCGGTGAATTTGCTCGAATTTTCGATATATTGTAGAACTCGTGGTGCTGATCAAATGTCTCCATTGCACCAACGATCTAAAATCAACAGTTAAGATAATATAGGGTGATATAGTTGACTTTTCCAAAATTTTGGATAGAAATTGTGAAGACACCTTTCATAATTTCAAAACCAAATCAGCTGTGCATTGATTGTTCGAATGACCGATAAGAATCTACTATGAAGTATAATAATTCCTGCACGTACTAACAAAATACAGGGTGGGTCGTAACATAGCAAATAATTCAGTGGTTTTCGGGAAAGTGGACAGTGGAATTTTATTAAAATTCTGTAGTATACAAATATCATCCCCAATTCGTGATATTAGCATTTCCTAATCAGACATATTATATACAAGATGTTTCATTTCTGATGAAGTCACATTCATGTTAGGTAGTTATTATTGGCATCCTTATTATGACTTACAACTTGAACAACCTATTGGGAAACTCGTTCATTCCATGATGAATGCCCACTCTGTAAATATGTGAAATATACAGAGTGGATGAATAATCAATGGTCTCTGCTAATAACTTCTCAAGAATAGTATATGTACAGATTCCTGTGATCCATTTTATTGGAATTAATCATTGATAATAAACAGTTTACTACTTTTATTTTTGTTTGAGGGTTGAGATATTCTCGAATTGAGTATGATGAGTTGTATTCTGGAAACTGTTCAAGATGTTGAATGAATTCAACTACTTTATTTTGAGAAACGAATTAGTTATAATTGCTTGTCATAACATGAAAGTAATACACTATTTAAGGAACAGAACTTCTGTTGTTATTGAATATCAGAATATTTTGTTATCCATAATAATTGTATATTCATTGTTCTTGTTTCCTATTGTTGATTGTTTCACTTCACTATCACCTGAAAAACCTATCATGATACCTGCGGTACGTTCTTACATATTATTCAAAATATACTACATCGAATGGTTCAAATTATTTTTATTGTATAAAATGTCATTATGACAAAATGGATCACAAGAATCTGTACATATACTATCCTTGGGAAGTTATTAGCAGAGACCATTGATTTTTCATCCACCCTATATATTTCACGTATTTGCAGAGTGGACATTCATCATGGAAAGAACGAGTTTCCCAATAAGTTGTTCAAGTTGTATGTCATAATAAGGATGCCAATAATAAGTACCTAACATAATAATAATAATAATAATAATAATAATATGTCTTTATTCATATTGCCCGAATAACAAAATAATCAAAACCTCGATGGTACACAATTATTTATCAGACAATAATTATGTAAGGGCGGAATTCAGTCGCATGGATGTGACTTTATCAAAAATAAGACATTTTGTATATAATATGTCTGATTGGGAGATGCTAATATCACGAATTGGGGATGATATTTGTATACTACAGAATTCAAATAAAATTCCACCGCCCACTTTTCCGAAAACCACTGAATTATTCGCTATGTTCCTACCCACCCTGTATATTGTAAGTACATGCAGCAATTATTATACTTTATTTATTCGAACAATCAATGCACAGTTGATTTGGTTTTGAAATTATGGAAGGTGTCTTCACAATTTCTATCTAAAATTTTGGAAAAGTCAACTTTATCACCCTATATAATCTTAACTGTTGATTTTAGAGCGTTGGTGCAGTGGAGACATTTGATAAGCACCAGGAGTTCTACAATATATAAAAAAATTGAGTAAATTCACCGAAAGCCAATTTCCCATTGATGCGGTGCGGGGTCCTTTCAAAATGTCACATACTGTGGTTATCCAGTAATGAATGTCCTGAATGGAGTACTCAGACATGAAAATTTGAAGTCTGGTCTCGTTTTTCTGTTTTTTCTCTAAAACGAAGCGTTCTATCGAGTATCAACAAGTGGGTCTTTTGTGTACATAATTGAATAGGCTTTCATAGCATGTACGGAATTTCAAAATTTTTCGTCGTTGCTCAATTTTAAGTAAAATATAAACAATAATATTCCCATAACGGTGCCACTGGTAGAGGAAATGAGAATTTTAATACATCAGAAATATCGGCATTTGAAATTCACATTCAGCAAGTGGGTGCTTCATGTATGCACTATAATCGTGGCAAACTATTATCACTTTTATGGGCTCATATTTTTTAACAACAATTACCGACGGATTCTGAGTTAGGATCACTGAAAACTCATTTGTACTAATTTTCATCGTTCAAAACTGTAGTTTGCTTAAAAAATTGATTCACATATTCTTCAAATTTCATAAATTACTTTTCTCCCGTGGGAAAAAAGTGAGTTATTTTTTCCCGGATATATATCACATATATATACGCTGTTGATAGCTTTTGTTGTGCTATAGTTCCGAAAAATGAGTCAAGTCCTTTTATCTTCCATTCGACTTCGCGGTTACGTATGTTACTAAACAACCACTAAATTAGCAATTTTTTGAAATCAAATCACAGAATTAGACTGACAGAAGTGACATCAGATATTTGATTACTTCAAAAGAACGATAAAGATGCCTACAACGCAGGTGTCCCTACCTTTAAAAACTTAAAATATCACGTCGATAATTTTCAGATTTCAAAATAATGTAATATCTTCGCAATATTGATTCATCCTTCCTTCTGTCACAGAGAAAAATAGTGTATTATACACGGGAATAATATTAGAATTTAACAACACAACCTGGAGCTAAAATCTAATACATTTTTCCCTTGTATAATAAATAACAATTTTTCTTGAACTGAATATTAAATTATATTGAAATTCAATTTAATGGCAAATGACCAGAGTCCTTCCGGCTTTTCATCATCTTATATTTATTTATAACTCACAAAAATATTTTAAAAAACCTAGAATCTCAGAATTGAATAATTCTAAGAAAATTTCGAGAATTGATTATCAACACATGCAAACAGGAGATACTGTTCAGGTTTGATCATCAGATCATCAGTTGCACTAGTTCAGCTAAGATTAATGCTACAAAGCATAGCTAGAGTTGGGAAGAACGAAAATCTAGCCTTCAGAGCCATCTATAGTGGCAAACGTGTAAAGGTGTATAAATAGATTGTTTGAACAACTATACCTTGCGAATAAGTCGAACGCAGACCCCTATGTCTTAGATATAGAGGGAAAAAATGTCAGAAAGAAGTATATCAAGATCGATCAGAAGATCAAAGGTTGGTAAGTCCTGGAGGTATGAGTAATTTTTTTCCCAAAAAAACATCAAATATAAGATATCTTTAAATGTTTGATGGTGAGTTGATGAAGCACCCCACTATAATTTTATGAATAATTATTTTCGTCATAAACATACATAGTCAACATTTGAGTTAACATTTATGACCATTTCCATTATTTCCAGATAGCTCGAGACATTGAAGAAACTATTCTGAATAACCTAGAATACGCCAAAGGAGAAGATAAGAATATGTACTTCAGGGCATTAAAAAACCTCAAGTCCCAAAGGACGCTACCAACATTATTGAATTATATCAAGACAGGAACTCTCAAAGAAGGTGTTCTTGCATGGAAAGCAATCAAATCTTTCGATTCGAAACTTTGGAACGATGACGTGCTAATCACCGCCCGAAAATCATTCTTCCAGCTAGACAGAAGATACGATACTAGTTCCAGAACTTTGGCAGCTGATATTCTCCTAGAAACTGATCCGAATGATGAGCTGCTGAGCGAATTTTTGGAATATCTTATTTCAATTGATCCCACATATGAGGTTAAACAGTATGTTTTCCAAAAAATCAAAATGTTAGCTGATGCTAATCAAAGTATGAAGCACAGAGTGCAACAGCTAATAAGAAATAACAGTTATCTGAATAATTATCATGGAATATCGCCTAGGGGATTGTCTACATCATTATCCAGAAGGTTTTTGACTAGTTCCTCAATAAATGGTAGCCTCGTCTCCGTGCAAGAAATCAAATCTGGTATTGTCAAGCGGGGTCTTATTGATGTTGTCATAGAAAAGGAGAATATACATTCGGAATTGTTTAGTGTAAGTTTTCATCGGTCTCACGGTCGTGGACACTTTTAAAGTGAAAGTCCTGTTCCCGTCCTAGATATAAAAAAAACTGATGTTGGTGCCTGTTGATCAATTCACATGACAAACTCAATGGTGGAAACTGAATATCGATATCTATCTTCGTTTCAGAGTTACAAGTTTTTTTTTTCGAAAATATGAATTTTCGAAAAGTGTCTGAACCTCATTTTTTGTCAAAAATTCTTCGTTTCCATAAAAAAATTTCCGAAGCATTGTTTTTGTCATGAAAATTGATCCTCAGGCACTGAAATCAGTCACCATATACATAGTTTCAAAATAGAACTGTTCCTTCAAGAAGAACGAGTTATATTCTTGAACAAGATATATGAACTGCCGATTTCAGTGCCTCAGGAATGATTTTTATCACAAACTGAATGCTTTGCAGTTATTTTCATGAGAACATACAATTTTTCCGAAACGATATGCGGTTGTTACTATTCAAGTTTGCATGAGAATCGAGCCTCAGGCACCGACATCAGTTCTCTTCGATCTAGTAGAAGAATAGGAGTTTCCCTTTAAAAGTAACCAATTTGGAATACCCTGTTCAGTGCATTCCATTTTGGTTCGATACATCCAGGTATCTCGGTTGTTGTTGATGATAGAACCTTGTGGTTTTCGCGGTCCTGTGTCACTTTTTTTGAAAAACTCAGGATGGCCTGGACAGATCTTGCCTAACTTATTTCGTTTATAAGTTACAGCGCGTTTTTGAAAATTCATACTTTCTGGACCACCTTCATATCTACAAAGTTTCTTAGCGAAAATGTCAAATTGAAATCTCATCCTATAGATAATTTTATGCAGAATCCAGTGGCGCACTCCATTTTTTCACAGGGTATGGTTTTGGAGATACGACTCAAACTTATGATTTTTTCAATGGAACACCCTGTATTTTATCAGCTTATCAAATTCCTTCTTTTTTTCTTCAATAACGTATTGATATAACATTTTCAAAAATGCTCAGAAGTCACTAGAAATAAGCACCTGATTAAATATTTACTACAACAATTGAATTTCGAAATTATTCAGTAACTCAGCCATTGAATTGTTCAAATTGATGTTCCTTTTATTCCCTAAAACACAATTGACATACATGACTTAAGTACATCTTAATGCAAATTCATTATATAAAGTATGTCAGTGTACTGTCTGTAGGTTTAATCGAGGAGGTGGTACATTCATTATTCCATTTTTATGTTGAAAACGGGAGCAAACGTCCAAAGCTAAGTAAAAATTTGATATTTTTTGTATATACCTTTATTTCTCTTCTCCAAACTTTATTCAATACAAATTGTCACTGACAAGCTAGTGAATTTTTCTTCTAGGCTTTCTGACAGGAAAATTCTTTAAACGCAGTGACACTTTTGGGCAAATCATCTGATTTGTCCTTACTACACGTATATTAGAATAATATTCATATTTTTATTTTATCAGAAACGAGAAGAGAAAATCCAAAAAAATCTGGAATAATGTATGTCAGTGTAATTCCTGGAAAACTGCCTGTTGTTGCACGAAGTTCTTCAAGTGCCTTTTAGTGTATTGAGACGTATTGATAAACTGTGTCAATTGTGTGTTAGGGAAAATCTTGTGGAAAATGTACATTCATTTGAACAATTCAATGAATAAGTTACTGAATAATTTCGAAATTTAAATGTTTCAGTATAAATATTCAATCAGGTACTTATTCCACATTATGAACTTTCAATTCTGTGTTTTGTGTTTTTTTAGTCGATTAGTGTTGGTATTGTTTTTATCCTATTCATGGAATATTCATTCAATTGGAAAAATCCGTAGACCACTATTAAAATTCAATGTTTAAGTGATTTTGGAGCATTTTCGTAAATTTCATATCCATATGTTATACAGGGTGATTAAGATACAAAGGCACAAACTGAAATGGGTGATAGATCTGATCATTTTTTTCAAAAAAGTTTATATAAACATGAGTCCAATCTCGATCAGAAGCGGAGCTACAGGGGGTCGAAGTTGAATTATTTTTTTCAATTAATTAATATATCTCGCTCACTTTTGAAAATATCATGTAGCAATTTAGCGTGGTTGATACTTCTTAGAAGATCATCATTTTGAGCTTCTTATAGATTTTTGAAATCTACAGGGTGATACGTTTTTGGGGGTAGAGGCTTCATTATCCCCCACAAACTTTTACGTAGTACGCCTCTGACATCTTGCAGTTAAGAAATTTAATATATCGTTCAATTTCGAGGTTCGTTTGCCTTTCAATTTTGTTCGATAAACCAATCGTTTTCAGAATAAATAAGCATATCCGTTCTAAAAACATGTTAATTTTGTCTATGTTGTTTAACTTAAATTTTGTTATTGGATTAAATTCGCAGAAAATGCAATAAAATGTACTAAAATTACAAACTGGATCAGTAGCGGAGATACAAAAGGTAGAACGTAAAGGTTTTGTTAGTTTTTAAAGTTGGTTGGATTTCCTCCAAGGATAAAATGTATGCGAAATGTAGACAAATTTAACATGTTTTAGAGCGGATATGCTTATTTATTTCGAAAACGGTTCGTTTCTCGAAAAAAAAAAGGAAGAGCAATAAGAGTATCTAAATCGAACAATTCACATAATCCGGTAGCTAGATGATGTCAGAGGTGTACTACTAAAAATTTCGAGAGGGATAAAGAAGGCTGTACTCCCAAAAATGTAGATTTTGAAAATCTTCAAAATGCTTGAAATGATGATCATCTAGGAAGTAACAACCTCACTAAATTTCAAATTGATATCCTCAATAATGAGAAAGATATTTTAATTAATGAAAAAATAATTAATCTTTGACCTCTTGTAGCTCCGCTACTGATCGAGATCGAACTCATGCTGATAAGGACTTTTTTGATTAAAATGATGAGATCTATCACACATTTCAGGTTTGTGCCTTAAAACTTGAATCACCCTGTATACTATTTTGAGGTAAAAAAAAAACCATATACATGGTGTTCCATTGAAAAAATCATAAGTTTGAGTCGTATCTCCAAAACTATGCACCGAAAAAAAAAATTGGTGCGCCACTGGATTCTGCGTGGAATTGTCCATTGAAATAAGATTTGAATTTGACATTTGCGCTAATAAACTTCGTAGATATGGAGGGGGTCCAAAAAGTGTGAATTTTCAAAAACGTCCTGTAACTTATGAACGAAATAAGTTAGGCAAGATCTGTCCAGGCCATCTTGGGTTTCAAAAAAAAAGTGGCCAGGACCGCGAAAACCGCAAGGTTTCATCTACAACACCAACAGTGATACGTGGCTGTCTCAATGTTACAGTCAAATGCGAAGAAATATGTCCCGGTTGGATGGTGTTAGTGTTCTTATTGCAGAAGTGACTAGTACTATCGCCGCCAAAGTGCAGCATGTTATTTGCATTTGACTGGTACCTACGTATCAGTAGTGAATTCGTATTTCAGTTAGGGATATTTTCCGGTGGGCTCAGTAGCTTCATCGCCAGTAATAACGGCGTAGAAGAGGAAACAGAAGAAGAATCCGCGACCGCAGGCATAGAGCTCACCGTCATGGACACTCAAATACGACCTTTCGTTTTCTTCAATGGTCAGGGCGAACTCATGGGTCATGTTTGGTCAGGGACTGCATCAGAGAAAACACCCGCGTTTCAGGTAAGATGAATCATGTTTCAGCAATCACTATACAGGGTGGTCCGGTTTGTAATACAAAAAATTCAACAGTGTGTTGTACTCCTTGAAATAATAAACGGTTCATATAACATATGCTTTTGAACGCGTCGTTTTCGAGTTATAGGGTGTTAAAAATACGAGTCTGAATATTGTTTTTTGATGAAAAATTCGAAACGGTTTGAGATAAATCAACAAAATTCATCAGGTACTAAACTTTTTACGCTCTATAGGATGAAACAGTGAGTATAGCACTCTTTGTTTGAGAGTGTATTCATATTGCATTATTTATTGTACATCTGGCATCAGCGCCTTGTATGCATTGCTGTGCCACTCCCAACCCTGTCGACAAGAGAGTACTGAGACATTCATCGTCGGTACTTGGTGAGCAAGCAATGCTTTTGTTAATTTGTCAATAAAAGCCTATCCAAAACCTATTTCTTTTCACTACATTTCTACAATTCCATCAAGTACTGACAGCAATTAACCATTTTCACAAACACTCTTGTTTCAATCACATTTGAATATTATTATAGAACTGAAAATGTTATGATATTTCTGAACCGATTTAACTCGAAAACGGCCAAACGTCAAAAACTCACAAGTGAGCTTTTTCACGCAGAGACCTGTGTATTTTCAGATTTTGATATACAAATCGAGAAAGAAATGCACATATAGAAATTGGGGTGATTTTTTTCTTCACCACCCCCAGATTCAGCCGCCACTGAATTACTTCATGAAATAATTTTTATTTCAGTTCATGAAGCTTACAAAGTTTAGTATCTATGAGAAATTCAGTAGATTTATCTCGAACCGTTTCGAACTTTTTATCAAAAAAACAATATTCAGACTCGTAATTTCAACACCCTATATGTCGAAAACGACGCGTTTAAAAGTATATGTTTATATAAACTTTTTTATTATTTCATCGAGTTCAACACACTGTTGAATTTTTTGTATCACAAGCAGACCACCCTGTATATAATAGACTAGCCGGTAGTGACAATTTTTTGTAATGTTTCTCCAATGTATGCAACTTTCAATTAATGATCTTCATGGGTTTTCAACATGTCCTAGACAATTATTAATTTGTGGTCGCCAGTGGCGTAACTTCATATTATGGGCCCCTTTGCCATAATAATCATTCAGGGCCCCCAGGGCAAAAAAATAACGATGAAACAGTATCAAAAAAACAACGTAAAAATTGAAAAACGTTTAAAAAAACAGAGAACGAACAAAATAAATATATACAGTATGTCTGGGAAATTTGGAGACAAATTTAATAATTTCAGGAAAAGAGCTAGTGATTCTTCTCAATAATTTCTGCAAGGCTTGAAACCGAAAATGCAATTATCAGATATTGAATTTTTCCAGTGAACTAGAATTGGAAACTACTTGCAAATATCTGATTAGATACATCTATCTACGATGAAAATCAAGTTTTATTATTTTTCACAAATTCTGATCGATTCATATAGTAAACATGTTCATTATCAATTTCACGGAAAAAGTAAATCTTCCTAACTAGTTCTGCAAGGCCTGAAACCGAGGGTGCAAATATGAGATATCAAATTATTTCAGTCTTCTTTAATGTTGAATGCATTGTAAGAAATAATGAAACCGAATTCTCTTCGTAGACAGATGTAATCAGATATTTGAACGTATTTTCCAAGGCGGCCCGGTGGTCGAGAGCGCAAAGGCGCTGAGTTCGTATGGGGACTCCCACCCAGGCATGGGTTCGAATCCCAGTTAGGCCATGGATGTTTGTGAATGTATGCTTTCCTAACCCCGCACAAGTTTCGACTTATGGGGCGTTGGATCCAGTGCTGGGTCCAACGAGGAAATGCAATAAAAAAAAATCTAGTGAACTTTTTTCAATAAAAATCTTCGATATTGTCGAAATAAATCAACTTCACTCTCAAAATTAATGTTTTTTACATATGTTCATGCAAATGTTTTTACTGATTGCATTTTGTGTTGAGCTATTTCTTAAATAGTTTTCGACTATTTTCAGTTTCGAATAAATAATATCTGAATACGAAACCACCCAGCGTATGGAACCTTAGTCTTGACAAGCCCTGACAGTGGCAAAGTATGTGTACTATTGTGTACTGCTGTTTCCTCCTCTTCCTGACATAACCTGCACAGCAGTTGTTCAGTCAGGTACTCATGTGTTTGTTGAGTCTACAATGCCCTGTGAGAAGTCCCACTAGTATTCTAGTTGTACTTCGTTTCTGTCTCAGTAGATATTCTGTGAATATTGGCGATGGTTTTTTAATAAACTCTTTTGCCTGTCTCGTTCCTGGCGAGTTGTTCGACCATTCTTGAGACTTAGTTTGCATCCATGATTTGATACTTGTTTTTTGTATAGCTTTCGCAATATCACAAAAGGGTTCTGGGCCATTCAGAGCTTTGCATACTCTACCCTCGTGTAGGAAGACCCAAAACTATTAACTGAACCTATGATGAAGAGGAGGTATTTGTGAACAATTATTTAACGTATGCTTTTTCGCAGACTTATATTTAGTAATACTTTTTTTATGTTCTGGTTCCCACGAAAAGGGATATCCTGTAATGTACAGTGAACATAGTGAGAACCAAGGGAAACAAAGTAGGAATTGATGTTCTTCTTGAATTTCTGGAGGTAATATGCCTCGGGGAACACCTCCCTTGGAAAGTTCCAGAGCCTCGCTGTTCGTTGGATGAACGAGTCTTTGGAAAGAGATGTTCTGCAGGTCTCCAAAGTGCCCACGAAGGGGTGCGAAGCCTCAACTCGACGGGTTAATCTCGCGGGGATTACGAAGGGAGGAACAATTGTTTAAAAAATTACTACAGCGCATGTGCACGCTACAATTGTACGCAAAGTGCTTATCGTGATACAAGTAACACCAAAAATAAGTCTTCTGCGAAGAAACTTATGTTGAGTGATTGTTCAAAAATACCCCACTCTTCATCACATGTTCAGTTAATAGTTTCGGTTCTTTCTACACGAGGGCAGAGTATGCAATTTTTTTCCGCGGTATCATTTTTTTCAAATTTCAACAAGAACCAATTTGCATGCATTCACGAATAGTTAGAAATCATCAATTTTCAATGCAAATTCAAATTTGATTGGTGACGCCGTTGCATGTGAGCACAAATTGATACTTGTCTAGGACATGTTGAAAACCCATGAAAATCATACTTGAAAGTTGCAAACATTGAAAAACCGTTGCAAAAAATCTATCACTATCGGCCAGTCTATAATGTAAGAACACTAAAGGAGGAGGTGATTCTAAAATTTTGAAATATCATACAGTATCACAAAATATGACGAAATCTTTGGTTATTGAAGCAGTAGCACAAGTAGTCCCAATTGGCGCATAGATCTGTAGTGGTTGATAACACCCAGGGCCAGATCATTTCTCAAGGTCAAACGCCTCAAATTGAATATAATGAGTTGCAGCTTCAAACTATTTTTCACGAAGATTTCTAGAATTATTCATAAATATGAGACACAAATATCGCTTGTCAAACAAAGTGTCACATAATAAAACAAATGTACTGTTTCTTACATGACTTTTGTATCTTCTGTAGTTTCGAGAAAAAAAAATTAGGACTGATTTGACACAAAATTTTAATAATGGTGCACTCGTTGAGATAAATGATCATAAAATCACACTTGTTCATTAAATGTTTAACAACGATAAGTAACGACCTCCTGAAATCACTTATGAAATAACCATTAAAAACGTTTTTAGGTGTTAGCTCTGCTACATGACCACTTAGAATACATAAGGTTGGGATCTGGATATATCGCAAGAATTGATATCAAGGGTGCTACTTCATTCGATCTCTCTGGAAAAATCGAAATATCTCTCTGGAATCGTAATGCCGAAGCTTTAGTTCAAAAATCGTAAGTACTTTTCATATTTTTGAGACAACCTAGAATCTCAAGACTGAGAGATTCCAGTTGATTGTTCATACATCTGAAACATATTAGAATAAAGAAGCTAACAGACTAACCTCAATATAAAAAAGGTAAGAATAGTCTTGTTTCTATTTCTTCTCAATTTTAGTGTAACCAACATGACATTTTCATTATTTCACGTTGAAACCCTGAAGAAAATGACAGAAAGAGAAAACTTTTTTTTTTCTCTCAAAGCTAGCCGAACTTCTATTTGGCAATGAACGAAAGTGAATCATTTGAACAAAACACATTCATTTCTCATTTGTTGTGTGAAGATTTTACCAAGAATCGTTTTTATTTCTGCAACTAAAATGCATTGGACTGTTGACGCCAACTGATCCATTGGACATAATTAATGAGTAAAAAGTATGTCAGAGAAGTATTTCTGCTCAGTTGGGCATCTATGGCAGTTGAAAACTTCCAAAATTCATAATATTCTGTATCTACAACATACTTGAGTAAATCAACATTCTCAATAATAATCTCAATAATAATCTATCTGCCTTTCGATTTGAAATCATCATGATTTGAAACAGTACCTATATGTTTTTAACCATCATTAATGTCCATCAGATATGTTGGACTATATGTTCAATGCTCATTTTGTGACTTGTTTTACAGGGTGTATCTAAATAACACCGAAAAAAGTCAAGGGGTGATTCCTTGTGATATTTTAGGAAATGAAGTTCATTTAAACATGTGTCTTAACTTGCTTCGTTTTCGAGATACAAGGTATTGATATTTCCATGAAAAATATTTTTTCCATTCATTTCACAATTGTCTTTTCATCAATTTCAATAAAACGTTGTGGTCTGGTTAATAGTAATAGTGCAATTAGATTCTAAATAGTATTTCCAGTGGCGTCACAGTGGGTAAATTTATCGAAATTCATGGCGAATGTCATTGTACACTAGCTTAGTTTTTGAGGAAACAATAAAAATTCGATTTGACTCCAAATTTTAATGAAGGTGTTTTCAAGACTTCCATTGAGGTTACTCAATAACCTCAATTAGAATCATTTTGAGGCTTTCTCAGTCTCTATCCATAATGAATTTTGGCACCATGGAAGCTTATACAGGGGGGTTATAAATAAAAATAATTAATACTTTCAACTTCAACATCCTGGATCTCAAAAACGGAGCAAGATAGGACACATTTTTATATGAACTTTATTTGCTAGAATGTCACAAGAAAACACCCCTTGGATTATTTCGGTTTTATTTAGATATACCCTGTATAAATGGCTATTCAAACAATCTTGGATAGGTATTCTTCCATCCAAATGATATGTTACTATACTACATTTATCATTCTCCAAAATATTCTGTCTTGTATCGTATCTATCTGAATTTCAGTGCTGGAATCTTCATCAGTGGATCCACATCTATTGATACGATGTTCGTCAAGTCTCAGGTGGAATTCAGTGCATCCGTTGAACCAAAACTAGATCTACAAACAGACATTGATTTTTCTGCCAATGTTCAACTGTGTATGAGGCTAGTCCAACCAGAAGCGTTATTTAGGTATGGAATTGATTAATCAGTTTTCATGAAACAATACCACACCGTGATATTGACTATTTTTTGTTTTCAGGCATAACATTCACAAAATCGAAAGAATCCCAGGAAGTAAACACAGAATGAGAATATCAAGATACAAGAAATATGCAGTACCAGGATTGACCTATTCGATAAACAAAAAGAATAATGAAATGTGTAACGCAATATTCAGTTGAGAACTTGATCATGACAATTACCACTCATTATCAAAAGCTGTGCTGTAAAGACATTTTTAAGTACCTGCTCATCATACATGTATATAAGAGTCATATTTGATAGTAAAAAACGAAATAAACCTGTTGTTTCAATTGATAGTGATCTCATAATAAAGGTCTCAAACATTCAGTTAGTTTCCAGTGAAAGCAATGAATCAAAGTTCACATCATTTGGAGATTGTAATAACTCGATGTAGTTATGAGTCGGGGGTGCTTCCATGAATACTGAGACAACATTTGATTTTTCAGAACTGAACATCTTTTCTCTAAAAATTTGAATAGTTAGTAATTGGACGTCCGGATTACGAATCCGAAGTGATTTTCAACCTGTGAGTGGTTCCATGGCTGTTGGTGAGCAGTGTATACAGGGTGTTTCAGTTATTTGTAGCAGGACTTTAACAGCTTGAAGAAGACATTTTTTCAAGATGAAAATATCATACACAATATCATACACAACATTTATGCGTGGGAGCTTCGTTTCCGATTCACAGGGTGTCAAAGTTTCAGATTTTTTTTAATGTTTTTTGAATTTTCTCATACAATTCTAGGAATAATTGATTGAAATTTGGTACACCTAATACACTTCAAAAATTCAATATTTTAGGCTATCGAGCATTTTTGAATACCTACAGGGTGATAGACTTTCAGGGGTCGTACCCAATTTAACCCTGTAGAACTTTTTTGCGTGCCGTCTCTTCTTTCAATGGGACATAGATTCAGATTGTCCTTTCAATTTGGAAACTTTTTGCCTCTATGTAAATTTTTCGAAAACTGTATGGATCTCGAGATAAATGCCAAAAATAAATTACTTGTAATAAAACCGTTATTTCTCAAACACACTTATTTGACATTTCTTAAACATTTTATTGGAAAATAGAATGACCGAAAGCTTCCATACCAAATGAAATTCAGTTGCAAAATTGATTTTTTTGAACACCATTATAATTAAAACTAGAAAAATCAAAACAAAAAAAATCTGAAACTTTGACACCCTGTAAATCGGAAACGAAGCTCCCACGCATATATGTTTGTATGAGATTTTCATCTTGTCTGTCTTCTTCAAGCTGTTAAAATCCTGCCACAAAAAACTGAAACACCCTATATAACTGAAGATGACACCACTTGATTATAGTGTGTATTCTCATTATATCTCCTTCAGGATAGTCAATGGAATTTTTCAGAAAATATCAATTGAAATTCAAATGACACTTTTTGAAATTCAATTGACTATTCTGAAATACAATTGTGGCGCTTTCTGAAATTTAATTTACCATTCTGATATACAATTGACGCATTCTGAAATCCAAGTGATGATTCTGAAATACAATTGACACTTCATGAAATTTACTTGATGATTTTGAAACACAATTGATGCTTTCTGAAATACAAGTAACTATTCTGAAATACAATTGATGCTTCCTGAAATTGAATTGACGCTTCCTCAAATTGAATCGATGCTTTCTGAAATTGAAATACAATGGACACTTCATGAAATTTACCTGATGATTTTGAAACACAATTGATGCTTTCTGAAATACAAGTGTGTAACGGCTTGTTACAGACTTAATTGAATTACAATACTTTATCGCAAATCGTAACTTTATTATTCTGATATTTTTCTGACATATTACAATATTATTTTATTTGACATCATCATTCTCAAATGTTTCCCCCGGTAAATCGAACATTCATAAAATATACAGGGGATAACGACAACAAGTATATACAGGGAATAAACGCCGGAACATTCTCCCCCAGGTGAAGAATCATTCTTCAACTCTAACATCTAGTTTGCACAACTTCGTCACTGGTCTCTTGTAAGTGTTTCTTCTAGTTTGTACGTCTGCAACACGTACTCTTCCATCAGGACCTGGATACACAGCTGCAATTTTCCCGATTTGCCAGTGATTTCTCGGTGAGTTTTCATCAACGATGAGGACAATATCGTCATTTTTTATTGAACTTTGGTCATCAGTCCATTTTTTTCGTTTGTTCAAGGTAGGTAGGTACTCTTTCACCCATCTCTTCCAAAATCCATTGGCTAGCATTTGAGATTTGCGCCATTCCTTCCTGAGACAGTTTCCAGGATTGAATTCACCTGGTGATCCTTCAGTGTGCGCATATCCAACTAGAAAGTGATTTGGCGTTAGAGCTTCTGGATCCCTTGGGTCAACGGATACATGCGTTAGTGGTCGAGAGTTCACTATATTTTCAGCTTCAGCGAAAAGAGTGGCCAAAGTTTCCTCTCTCAATGATTGCTGATGTACAACGACACCTAGAGATTTCTTAATTGATCCAATTAGTCTTTCCCAAGCCCCACCCATATGAGGAGCTCCTGGACTAATGAAATGAAAATCTATTTTTCTATTGGCAGAGAAGTCTATCATTTGGCTTTGGTCAAGTTCTTTGAGGGCACGCCGTAGTTCTTCTGCTGCTCCTCTCAGGTTGGTCCCATTGTCGCAGAATATTGTCTGAGGATTTCCTCGTCTGGCAATGAATCTGCGAATTGCCATTATTGCTGAATCTGTGGACATTGTAGAAATAATTTCTAGATGTACGGTCCTAACTGCTAAGCAGGTGAATAGCACGCCCCATCTTTTCTCTCTTCTTCTTCCTACTGCTACTGAATAAGGGCCAAAACAATCCATCCCCACGTTTACAAAAGGTCTAATACAGGGCGTTAAACGAACTAATGGTAACTGTCCCATGATCGGAGGTTTTGGTACAGAATCATTATTTTTACACCTTTGGCAGATTTTTCTGACAACTTTCACTGCAGCTCGACCATCGATAATCCAAAATTTTTGTCTAATTTCATTTAAAATGCTTTCAACTCCAGAATGTCCGAACTTTTCGTGGTAAAATTGAAGTAATAATTTAGTATATGGATGCTTTGGGCACAAGATGAAAGGCTTTTTCGTCTGGGCATCTAAACAGGTGGCTAAATTCGTTCTTCCACTCAGAATCAGCAAACCATCATCATCAATTTCAGGACTAAGTTTTCGAATTCGACTATTTTTCTTCAATATCTTACCCGATTTTAAAATTCTTATATCCTCTCCAAAACTTTCCATCTGTGACTTCTTTATCCACAATTTCTCAGCTTCCGACAATTCTTTCACAGTCATGAATCCACTTATTGGGTTACAGCAAATTCCTCTCACTCGACTTTTCAATATTTCAGTGAACCTCAACACCCAAGCTGTAGAACGTATTAAACGTAGCCATTTAGAAAACCTCGTAATTTCTTTGGAGGTAACTGTCCCATGATCGGAGGTTTTGGCCCTTATTCAGTATTTTGATTTTTCCAGATAAGACCTATTTCAAACCTGCCCTCAACCCGTCGAGCTGTGTTTTTCATAGTATTCAGTGCTTCACTCTCTTCTCTGCTGAGCTTATTCTTCACTGGCAACACTCCAAAGGCTTCAAGAGAAAATGAATTCTTCACTAGGTCATGCAGGTTCTCGTCTTCATTCCCTTTATTACAAAGGTGCATGGATTCTACCGTTTTGTAGCGCCTTTCTTTTCCATTTCTACCATGAAGGGACCAACCTAGACGACATTTTGTAGCAATCGGTGAGTCTCTTCTGTTATCGGCATCAGTTCTAATCTGTCTGGGAATCATGAGATCAATGTTGTCCTGACCTATCAGCAACTGTTTTGGCCCTTATTCAGTAGCAGTAGGAAGAAGAAGAGAGAAAAGATGGGGCGTGCTATTCACCTGCTTAGCAGTTAGGACCGTACATCTAGAAATTATTTCTACAATGTCCACAGATTCAGCAATAATGGCAATTCGCAGATTCATTGCCAGACGTGGAAATCCTCAGACAATATTCTGCGACAATGGGACCAACCTGAGAGGAGCAGCAGAAGAACTACGGCGTGCCCTCAAAGAACTTGACCAAAGCCAAATGATAGACTTCTCTGCCAATAGAAAAATAGATTTTCATTTCATTAGTCCAGGAGCTCCTCATATGGGTGGGGCTTGGGAAAGACTAATTGGATCAATTAAGAAATCTCTAGGTGTCGTTGTACATCAGCAATCATTGAGAGAGGAAACTTTGGCCACTCTTTTCGTTTCATAGTTTAGTTTCTTCTGGAGGACTCTGGCACTAACATTGGATTTAGTACTCACAGCGGACTTAGTTCTTGTAGATTTGGCTTTGTTAGAGGTTTCCTTTCTGATATTCTGATGATGGAATGGGTTTCATTTACTTGAGAGGCCACCGCACCAATACCTCTTCCAAATCTATCAGGCCATTCGAATTCCGCTGGTAAGCTTATTATTCCTGCTCCTATCCTTTTGTTTCGTTCACCAGCATCCATATCTTGGTTCATTTAACAGTCGAAGGACCACAATGTAACGGCTTGTTACAGACTCAATTGAATTACAATACTTTATCGCAAATCGTAACTTTATTATTCTGATATTTTTCTGACATATTACAATATTATTTTATTGACATCCTCATTCTCAAATGTTTCCCCCGGTAAATCGAACATTCATAAAATATACAGGGGATAACGACAACAAGTATATACAGGGAATAAACGCCGGAACAAAGTGACTATTCTGAAATACAATTGATGCTTCCTGAAATTGAATTGACGCTTTCTCAAATTGAATCGATGCTTTCTGAAATACAACTGAAAAAGGTGTAGTTAGGAAACAATTCAGAATCATGGTTGACAACAAAAATGTGTAAATAACAGGACATAAAAATCTTGAGTCAAAGGCAGGCAAAGCCCTTATTAAATCTAAAATTCTCCTGTCCCGGTCACGTTGTTGTGGTCGAACTCCTCCGAAACGGCTTGAACGATTCGTATGAAATTTTTTGTGCGTATTCGGTAGGTATGAGAATCGGTCGTAATCTATTTTAAATCGAAAATTCAAGATGGCGGATCCAATATGGCGGACGAGTATTGTTATTCGATTTCATTCAAAATTGGTATTTTAGGGTTTTCGGGGTCTGAGATTATGATACTTTCGTCAAATTTTGGAAATTCAAGATAGCGGATCCAATATGGCGGACGATTTTTGTAATTTTCATCAATTCCATTCAAAATTGGTATCTGGGGGTTTTCGAGGTCGGAGATTATGATTTCTCCATCAAAATCAGGAAATTCAAATGGCGGATCCAATATGGCGGACGAGTTTTGTTATTATAGTCAGATCCCATTCAAAATTGATATTTGAGGGTTTTCGAGGTCAGAGATTATGATTTTTTAATCAAAATTAGAAAATTCAAATTGATGGATCCAATATATGGCGGACGAGTTTTGTAATTATGATATAATTATATTCAAAATTGGTATCTGAAATTATGATTCGTTCGTCAAAAGGAAATTCAAAATGGCGGATCCAATATGGCGAACGAGTTTCGTAATTATGGTCAGATTCTATTCAAAATTGGTATCTGGAGGTTTTAGAGGTCGAAGATATGAATCATTTGTCAAAATGGGGAAATTCAAAATGGCGGATCCAATATGGCGGACGAGTTTTGTAATTAAGGTCAGATTTTATTCGAGATTGGTATCGGGTGATTTTCGGGGTCGGAGATAATGATTATTTTGTCAAAATTCGGAAATTCAAGATGGCGGATGAGTTTTGTAACTATATTCCGATTCCATTCAAAAATTGTATCTGGGTGATTTTCGGGTCGGAGATTATGATTCTTTCATCAAAATTAGGAAATTAGAGACGGAGGATCCAATATGGCGAACGAGTTTTGTAATTATGATCCGATTCTATTCAAAATCTGTATCTGGGGGTTTTCTCGGGGTCGAGAATTATAATTTCATTCGTTAAAATTGGGAAATTCAAGATGGCGGATCCAATATGGTGAGAGCTTTGTAATAAATAGCAGTTTGAAAAACTATAATGGAACACGCTTTTATTGATAGCCAAACTCGAGGCCAAACTGAATAGAAGAAGAAAATTGATAGTATAGTTTGAAAAACGAGATAGATTGTCGAACTAAAAAGAAGTAGAAAATGAAAATAGAAGTTTGAAATACTAATGAAACACGATTACATGGATATCCAAACTAAAAAGAAGTTTAAAACAAAATAATAAAAGTGTGTTGATGAATATTCAACTAAAAAAATATTTTCTAGAAGAAAATGTACATAGCAAAACAACGTGTGCCAGGTACCAGCATCAGCTATTGTGAAACTAAAACTAATGAAACACGTTTTTATAGATAGCCAAACTAAAAAGAAGTGAGTAGAAAATAAATGGAAAAATGAATAGATATAGAGTGCCGAACTGAAAAGAAGTAGAGAATAAGTAGAATAGTTTGAAAAACTAAAGAATCCTGTTTTAATGGAAAGCAGAACTAAAAAGAAGTATAAATCAAATAATGGAAGTTCTTTGATAAATATTCATGTGAAAACATTTTTTCTAGAAATAATGTTATGGCAAAACAGCGTTTGCCGGGTCAGCTAGTAATTACATAAAATTCTTCACAGCCCAATCAAAAATACATATCTGCTCTACCGACTTTCATAACAACACAAGATACATCAGGTAATTTTCATCTTCATCGCCTCTAAAAATAATTTCAATAAGTAATATATTTCCGATAGACCAGACAGCACGACCATTTCGATAAGGCCACCTAAAGATTAAACCAAATGGATCTCAAGTGTCTTTCAGACGCATCGCGTCTCGACGCTCAGTACAACTCAATATTCGTTCTATAATGTATACAAATGTAATAATCATCGTTTTCCTGCTGATATGTCTCTGGGTATATTTAATTGTGATCAGAAATACCTTTTCTCATGATACAACATCAATTGAATTGAATGTCATTCAATCCAAAAATATAGTCACCATTTCTGGAGGCAGTTCAAATCCGAGAGAGGCAAAAAATAACATTTCGGAAATCAAAAGGAAGTTCCACGTTCCAAAGTTCATGCTTGAACTGTATGAAAACAATAAAATGGGAGGGGAAATTGACGAAAGGCCTGACGTGGTGAGGAGTCTGATACCGACACATGAAGGTAAAACATTGTTTTTTCTCGGGCTATAACACAAAATTGCTCTTATTTCACTGTTTTCGATAAATCTATGAGGTAATTTTTATGCCTTTGATTTTATTCTATTATCTGATATTACAATGACTTTTTTCTACGGCTATAAAACAAAATTGCTCTTGTTTTACTGTGTTCGATACATCAATGAGGTACTTTGTATGTCATCAATTTTATTTCCGTATCTGATATCACAATGACTCCATTGTGTTATCAGTTCAAAAGAATTTCATCGCTCATGGAATGTTAAATTGCAAGCAATGACAGCTCTGTCTAATGGATGAGCATTACTTGACAGGAAATCAGATGGCTACAAGCCGAAGAAATCGAGAATGTCGCTGTTATCTGTTACAGCCGTAGAAAAATTATAGTGTATAACTTGCACGGAATCCTAATTTCCTACTTGAATGATTGGAGCATTCGCCTATGGCTCATGCTGCAAACTTCACTCTCGTAGGAAATCACTATCATTCCGTGCTCGTTAAACAATATACTATTATTGTGTTATTATTTCACAATAAATGTCATCTTCCATGAAATGTCAAATTTCAAGCAATGGCAGCTCTGTCTAATGGATGGGCATTACTTAAGAGAAAATCAGATGGCTACCAAGCCGAAGAAATAAAAAATTTCGCTATTATCTGCTACAGCCGTAGAATAAGATTAATACATACTTTTAAGTACAACTCAAATTTCATTTGATTTATATATGCATGGCGCTAAATGATTTAATTTTTCACTTGTGTATTATTTGTTTATTTCATTTCAGATAAGGTTTATATAAATACACTTATAACGCTCTAGGGCGTTATGACCATAAAGCACGCTAATGGCAATGATTTTACATTTCACTTTCCATTAATCAAATAAACTGCCCGACATTTGAAGTGAGACAAGCTTTTCCATCATTTTTGAACCGTCATAGCTTTGGATTGAATATCACCCAATTTTCAATTTCTTTCAAGGTTCTATTAGCCCATTTCGTTGGGTACAACGTCAGTACTTTCTGTTATTTCACCTTCCCGACATAAAGATCTATACAGGGTGATATCTGAAAATGTGATGATTTTCGAAAAGTTTGAGATCGCTCCGTTTGGCAGGGATTATTTTTTTAGTTTCATTGGGGGCAATAAGATGAAGCATAATGAGTTTTCTCAAAATGCAAAACAGAATGTTTTGTTTTATGGAATTTTTTACAATGTACTTATTGCATTTTGATATGTTCAACCAACATAAACTCAACTTCAACAGAATTTCAGATAAGCCCATCCTGCTCAACTACTACTATCACTATACAAGTAGTAGTAGTAGTAGTCGGTGGGGAGGCTGTAGCCAAGCAAGTAGAACCCGATTGGCCCTTTTTGCTAACCCCTGCTCTCCACATATCTACGCCTCCTTCACCTAGATTTCCTTTACGAATCTCCCTGACCTTCTGATGAAGGCCAGTATGTCCGTCCACTCTAATATAATCAAGTCCTCCTGTTGGAGTTTGTCTACTCCAAAGATTTCAAATCTCAGCCTTCCGTACGCCTCGCACTCGCCAAGGAAATGGAGTGACGTTTCCTCGTCTTCCCCGCATCTGCGGCAAGTTGGGTTGTCCTCTATTTCCATAAGTGATAGCTGTCTGCCTAGCCTGTTGTGTCCTGTGAGTACTCCTATGAGGAGGCGGAGTACTTGGCGGTCTCTGCCAAGCAGCCACTCCTTCCTTGATTTGCTTGGACCGGCCATGAATTCCTTGGCCTGCCTGCAACCTGTGATATTCCTCCAGTATTCTCCTATTGCCTTGTCCGCCCATTCATCGAGGGCTGACGTAATTTGGCTCCTTGCTATGCCTAGTACAGGCTCCGGTCCCAGAAACGGCTCGGCGGATCCGGCGCTAGCACTATACAATGTGTTGTACATTTTTAAAAATACCCGGTATCATCGAATTTTTTAGACAAGCCATGGTTTCCAGAGTTCCGAAGGTATGAGATTCAAATTATGTAGGTGTGTAGGATTCGGACAAAGAAAGAAGTTTCGATATTATTTGCGCCGTCACACCCATTGAGCATATGGAAACTTCAATCGCAAATATCTTCGTCACCTTTTCGAATAACCTTATCGAACCTGACCCAACCTAAACACATCCCAGCATTTAATAGTCACGAGGCGTTCGGTATCTGCGAGATGGACACGAACGCCACCTGAGTAGAAGGAAAGAAATATTCGTGGGTATTAAATGCTGGGATGTGTTTAGGTTGGGTCAGGTTCGCACCAGATGGCGGTCAAAAAACCATCTGGAGACACTGATGAGAGCCCAAAGCTCGAAACCAGTCTGTAGGTAGACTAGCGTTCCTGGACAATTTAGGCACAACTCAGCATTGCAACTGTATTCGTCTTTACGAATCGTTGCATAGATATCGGAGGATGTAATTCGATATTCTGCGTGGCATATAGTAGTTGTTTTTCTCTTGTTATCTACCATTTTCGTTCATTTTATGAACTAATGTGGTAATTACTTTGAGTTCCTTCCTCTTTGTGACCATTTCATTCCACTTTGAGTATTTGGCTTTTTCCTAGTCCCTATATTATGTTGGAGGAACATCATGCGTAACTAGGAAGGATAGGGAGAAAAGATATGGGCAATATTATGTTGTCTCAACACGGCAGTGAAAAATTCTCGCACGATGTGGTAGTTTATTATTATCAACCAGTATGAAATTATCACCAAAAGTTTTGGGAACTGGAACGACAACTTCCCTAACACATCCAATGTCTTGATACCGAAGAGCATTCATACTGTCTCTCAAAATAATCAACGTGGAGCGACGATTCATCATGATACCGCCCCATATCGATTTTACGTATCATTTTTTCTTTGAAAATATTGTGCTTATAATTATCACCTCCATTTTTTTCGTAGTATATTTATTTATTTCTACATTTACTATATTTGAAAATGTACAGAATGCGCCTATTGAAATGGAACCCCCCCTTTAACTCTTTTGTTTTCAGAGTTGTGAAAAAAATTTGAAAAAAGTTGTTTGAAACGACCACAAACGTTTATTACGTAAAGTTTCTTCATAAACTATAGGTAAGATATGGATTTTCAGTGAGGATGAAAGAACACAAGTACAATATCAAGAAAAGACATATCGATAAATCAAAGCTAACTAAACATATCCTTACTGAGAATGGACAACATATGGCAGAGTGGATTTTAATATTAAAATCATAGAAAAGAAAGATAACAGCCAAAAGAGAATACTCAAGATATCCGCTTGCATTCTTCTGAACGGAGACAATAGCATTGCTTCCTGTTCAGTTGATATAGATAGAACATGGTATTCACTACTGAAAACTGAACATGAAAATGGTATATTCAAGATCATTTAATGATGGCATCCTGTAACTCATTTGTATACTAGCATCATCACTCATCCATATGCCAACATCAATATGTCACTGAGAAGTGTCAAACTATGAGGACAACTTTCGAAGAAATATATTTTTGCATTTTCATGTTGAGAACGGGAGCAGATTCGTTCCCGAAACGTCCATAGATGATTAGTTATTTTCTCTGGTAACAAAAGAGGGGCAGAAGTCTTGTATAGGGAGATAATGTGACAAGTTTTCTCCCTAGGGAGTTTATACCAACTTTACATTTTCCGAGAGTATAAGCTGCACCATACAGATTTCTTGATCTCACTGGTAGCAAGTTAAGAATCACTGCAGAAGCAGTATCAATAGTTTCTTGGGGTTTTCCCTCGATTTCTTGTTCCATAACCGTTTCAGTTTGATATTTGCTGTCACCATGGGCTCTCAACAAGATGCATGTTGTCAAGATACGAATTCCACAAACTATACTACTACTAATTATGACGAAACACTTTGACCCATTTTTTCAATTTTTGTGTTTCAGCCAGCGTAAAAAATAGTATATACACCTCAGGACAGAATGCTATTTTTCACTCGGTGCTATTTCGGTCCCTTGATGTATAATGTACTATTATTCAGTACTGTACGAAAGCACTGTATAATTTGAACACTAAAAGAAGACTCAAGGTCATGGGCGACCATTTTATATTTTTCAAGCAGTTTAAACGCATCGTCTACACTATACCTACGAGTTAAAATAATTATTTTTGTTTCAGAGCCATTCCATGATAATGAAATATTCGAGAATCTTTCTGAAAACCACTTGCTCATTTTTGATATACCATCTTTAACAGAAGACGAAACATTTGTCAATGCTAAGCTGAAAATATTAACATTATTAGATATTGAAGCTGTCAGTAAAATAGGTAAGAAAATTCAATTGAATATTCATATTTCGAGAGTAGATTTTCTCGCCATTTGAATTGGGCATATTGTTTTGATTTTCTATTGAATATATTCAGTGAGAACGACATTTTTACAAATTCTGGTAATTTATATTTAAATATTGAATTTTGAGCACTTATCCTGCTTGATGGCGTTAAATAAAAATTAGTTCTATTTCCTGTGTTGTGATTATATATGTTGTAGTTGTAAGTTATTCGAGGCATAGGCATTTTTATACAGGGTGAGTAATTGGAATGGGAAAGTGAGATAACGGCTTTGCTGTTTGTGATGGTCTAGGCTCATGAGCAGCATATTTCTAAATTACTTTGCGTGTACACGATGACTCAAATTTTATTATAGGACACCCTGTATTTTGTTGCATTTTCGAATTCTTCTTTGTGAGCTGATTCCATCAATACATCACACTCGGGATCTACCGGGAATGATTACAGAGATATAGGGTGTTCAAAATAGAGATTTTCCAACTTTCTGATTTTTTTGTGTCGGAATTAATAATTATTGGTCAGAACGGCTCACATGTCCCCATCTTGAGTTTTGATTCACTATTTACTGATATTTGATTCAGACGAATACAAGGTAGTTCAAATATGCAGGGTATAACATGAAGTTCTAGTCATGTTGTAGCCACCTAGTGGCGAAGCTCTAAGGTAGGATCAAGAGATCGCGACACACACTGTATGGCGCTGCCATCTATAGTCACACGTACATACCCTTTGCGATCTCTTGATACTACCTTAGAGCTTTGCCACTAGATGGCTACAACATGACTAGAACTTCATCTTATACCCTGCGTCTTCGAAATGGGTGATATACCCGAAGCGTAGAGTTGTCCCAGTTGTCAGCAGCAACTCTGTTCATCCTGGATCTCTTAGTTATGAGATCTAGCAGTTGAATGACAAATATTTTGTTTCAGGTATCCGAAGGATTGTAAAAATGTCTATTTATGATGATACTATAAAACAATTACTAGATTTTCAAGAAATTCCAATCCAACATCTAAACAATTCGTGGGTAACTTTCGATGTGACGGCTCCAGTGAAAAATATTTTACAGTCTGATTCAAAAAGTAAATATATGAAAATTGTTATTAGCGTATCTGCTTTCCTTCCACAAGTCACAGATACTGTCAAATTATCCTTAATGCCAATAGAGGAAAACTTTGATCACGAATACCCGGTATTACTGTTGTCTTATCATTTGAAAGAAGACAGAAGTGGAATTGAAAATAGAGTAATCGAAGGTGGCCAGAAAATGGAAGAAAGAAGAAAACGGAGTTTAGAAGATGATTACGAAGAGGATACCAATAAAATATGGGACTATGACATGTCGAATAGAAGAACTCAAATGAAAAAATTTAGGAAAATGAGAAATACTTGTAAGAAGAAGCCACTATACATTGATTTTGCAGAAATCAAGTATGATATTTGGATTGTCCAACCAGCTGGCTATGAGGTAACTACTGAAGAAATATTGGAAAATCTAAAATATTCTTTCTCTATTCTACCTTATCAAAAAATATTGCTAAAAACACTCATCGGCTCAACACTCAACACCCTATAATTTCATATATAAATAATCATACATCTTCAGATGAAAAAACTATATGGAAATACAGATATTTTGTTCATCTTTTGCGTAGTATTGAAGAATTACGATTTGGAAAAAAAATGAATGGGTGATTCACCATGGATTTCACGATTTCAATACTCGTTATCTCGTTGAGTTTTCAATCTGTAATCTCGAATGAAATATTCGTCTTTTGAGAACTACAATTTCTCATTCCGTATACAGTCTGTCCAAGATAAAGTTGAACAGTATGGGGATCTCGGAAACGGTAGGAGATGCGAAGTCGTTTAAATGGGAAAAAAGTTGCGCATTCGGAGGCTCATATCAAGTGCCTTCGAAAATTTTGAAAATTATTTTTAGTTTTTGAGTTATATTGAGAAAAGTGAATTTTTGAAATATCTATTCTATTTTTTTTTGTCCGTTATTATTAGAGATACAAAAAAACTGAGAATACTTTTTCATAGCAACTTTTGATGACGTTTCACGTGGTGATACCGATTTTTTCATGCGACGTTTCGTATCCGTAGAACCATCATCAACTTTTGTTTTTTAAATACTGTCCTGATAATGTTTTGACAGATTCTGAAAGGTTTTTTTATTTTGAATTCAACCATGTATTAAACAAGGTGATTCGAATGTGTCTCGACCTATTTCTATCCATCATCAATGTATTTTCGAACTTCCAAAGGAAAAAGCCATTAGTTCCACTTATTTCTGATCATTTAGTGTCAAACTCGATGGATAAGTTATTCAATACTGAGAAGTGAATGAAAAATATTTCACTACATCATTCGATCAATGCAGCGCTTAAAATTGTTGATGAATTCTTACACGAATTACTTTAATAACTTAATTTTGACAATACCTACAGAGACATTCATAACAAATGTTCAAAATGATAACCATTATTTTCTGAACAAAGATATCCTCTTCTCACAGTTGCTTCTAAGACATTGCTAAGCATTTCTGGGGTTATTCTATTGAATGCTTCGAAGACACTGTCCCTTAGTTCGATCTTCTTCATCATCAAAGTTATTTGGGTGTACAAAGTTTGATATATCCCCTAAGAAAAAACCCAGCTGTATCAAATCAGGCGGCCGCGCCGGCCAAGGGACTGTAGAATGAGTACCAATCCATTTTTCTGGATAAAAACGCACGGACTTCTCTGGAATTATGTACCAGAGCGCCATCTTGTTGAAACCAACAGTTCTGAACTTCCGCAATCGGTAAATCATCCAGAGCTTCCTCAAGTTGATTCTCAAGCAAATTTCTATAACGTTCGGAAGTCTGTGTTTCATAGTAAATAGAAGGTCCAATAATTCGTGTACCAAATATTGCAACCCACATATTAAAGCCGAAACGGTGTTGGTGTCTCGCTGTAATGTATAAATGTTCATTTTCTCGTGAACAATAATGTGTATTTTTTCTATCGAAGATACCATGATGAGTGACCATGCTTTCATCAGTCCAGATGATTGTTCAAGGGAAATCTGCAGAATTTTGACATTTCCTGGTACACAGAGAATGTCCTGCGCCTTTCGTCATCGCCTGGTTTTAGCGCTTTTGACATATTCTGAATTTGTATGGATGGAATTTTTGTTTCCGCAAAATGAAATGGGTTGTTGATTGAAACCAGTTGATAAGGTATTAGTGTGTTGACTAATTTTCCTTCAAAATAAGTGGAACTGATGGCATTTTTCCTTTGGAATTTCGAAAAAATATTGATGATGGCTAAAAGTAGGTCGAAACACACATAGACCACCTTGTTTAATACATGGTTGAATTCAGAATAAAAAAACCTTCCAGAATCTGTGAAAAAATTATCAGGACCGCATTTAAAAAACAAAAGTTGATGATGGTTCCACGAATACGAAACGTCGCATAAAAAAATCGGTATCACCACGTTGAACGTCATCGAAAGTCGCTATGAAAAAGTATTCTCAGTTTTGCTGTATCTCTAATAACGGAGAAAAAAAATAAAATAGATATTCCGAAAATTCACTTTTTTCGATATAACTCAAAAACTAAAAATAATTTTCAAAATTTTCGAAGGCTCTTGATATGAGCCTCCAAATGCGCAACTTTTTCCCCATTTAAACGACTTCGTATCTCCTACCGTTTCCGAAATCCCCATGCTGTTCAACCTTATCTTGGACAGACTGTATAGAAGGTGTGGAACACTATATTTTATTGCATATTCTGAAAAGCTTATTTGTCCTGATCAAAAAATATATACTTCTGATAAATTCCATAGAATATTGGGTGAGTTCAAGTTATATTCATAACATGTAATTAATAGTTATTTATTATACAAGGGAAACATGTAGTAGATGTTAGCTCGAGGTTGTGTTGTCTCCCGACGCGTAGCGGAGACAAAATATTAACATTATATTGAAATCAGAAAATTATCTACATAAAATTTTAAGTTTTCAACAATAAATACACCTGCTTTGCAGGCATCTTCATCATTATTTTGAAGTAATGAGGTTTAATTGGATTATTTTTCGGAACTGGCACAACAAAACCTATCAACAGTGTATCTATATCCGGGAAAAGTAATTTTTGAAGAGTGACATTTAGTTACCTGTCAACAGAGATGAAATTGGTAATGGAATAATACAGGGTCTCTGGGTTTCCTATTTTTCCTAAAATGCTACGTTACCAAGTTACGAGCCTTCAAAGTTACAAAATAATATAACTTTCAAAGTGAATATTCAAAATCATCCAAATTTTGGTGATTGACTAAAGAAATGAATTCCTTCGATGAACTTTCATGCAGGAGTCAGTTGTTTTGCTACTAAGTCAGGAACGGACAACCCCCGATGGTGCACACCACGCAACATTGAAATGACAGATATTTTTCAATATTTTTTAACAAAACATGGTTACCTAGACAATTTCCTGAAGAGAATACACGAGAAAGTCAAACCCGATCGTCTACCATTATTTGGAATGAAAAATCTTCACAGCAAAATGATTATGATAACGTTAAACCAACAACATGTATAACAGGGATATTACAAAATATGCTAAACTGACGTCGTAAACAAACAGTACAGTACCTAGGCCCGTAACTTGGTAAGAAGGATTTAAGGAAAAAAGTTATATGAAGTACTGGTGATATTTTTACCCCCTCTATACTTTCCCGGGAGAAAAAGAGGAAGTCCAGGAACACCCTGTATACCCAACTCAATTCAAGTTTGAAGAAAAATATCAAATATATCGAATGACAGTTCGATCATAGCAAACTTGGATTGAATCAGTCAGTGTTCTCCTATGTAATAGAAAAATTAAATACGAAAAAAAAGTCATTCGGAGTATGAAATAAAATATAGGATGTTCTATTTTGAAAACAACAGTTTTTTACTCCTCTTGTATAATGAATGAGGAAATTCAAGACTTCATTTCAACCTTCACAAGTTCACCATTAGTTTTCGAGATATTTAGCGTTATTGATTTTGCTACCAAACCAGAAACGAAAAGGTATACTCAGAGAATATGGAGATTATTTCTTTGGTCTATTTGATATATGCATGATGAAAATACTGAATTATCATATTTTAATACTAACTATCATTGTATATACATTGATTTTCGTTAATAAGAAATTTGCTCCATGAGAACTAATAGTTGTTTGGGTTTCGATATTTGTCATTTTGTCATAATCTGCGAGACATAACCTCATTGCTTTCTACACCGGTGTGGCTCGGGTCTATACACGAGGTGCGTGGTAATTCTCGGCCAAGCTCACGACAACGAGGGAAACTTTGAATTCAATAAAAATTATGATTTCCAATCCGTATCACATTGAATTTTCATTCTTCGAAGAGAAATAAGGATTTATTTACCGAAAGATAAGTTAGATTAATTTCAACAGATAAAAGACATATAACATATAAGTTATATTAAAAACATATAAATGTTTGGAATAAATATTAGTGTTCTGTGTTTTGAAGTATATATTTATGGTCGAAGGAAAAATAGTGTACATAACTCGTTGGAAAGTGTATTTCATGCACTCCTTACATTTCTGCACTCGCCACTACGCGGCGTCGTGTTGAGGTGTCACTCGTGCGAAATATGTCAATTTAAACAATACTATTACCGCCTTGCACGTGTTTCTATAACTATTTCAGCATCTTCAGGGGACGGTTTATTTTTTTTGTGATTGAATCCATAACTTTATAAAATGCAAATAATGTTCTATACACGTTTTCAATAAGCGTCAGGAGCAGCGATTATGGGACAGAATAAAAGAGGTTATTACGGCCATTAGAAGCAGAACTACATAGTCTACAAGTTTTTAGTTTAGTCCTTGAATGAACCAAAAACTCGAATACTCCAATCATTGTTTTAGATAATCTTATTGTTGAAATGTATAGGCTTACCAGTGCCAAGGAAGATGTTTCTATCCAGTTGCAGCACATCTGAATCCGACCAAACACGCTATTTTCCAATCGCTATTGCACAGTGCTGCCCCATCAAAAGTCTCCAGATCGTGTTGTGTACCGACCAAGCTGGATTCTATTTCTATTCTTTATGTAGATGACAATGGTGTTCTTACATATAGATATGCTTATAAAGATATGGTGGTTGTAGATTGTGGCTGCAGATGATATAATAAATTGTAAAAGTGATGATATTTTATTCGTGACAGATAAAAGAAGTACCTATATGATATAAAATAAAATGAGCGAACCTAGGCTTGTTGCTTAGAGGTTCATCAAGATGGGACAATTAATTTCTCTGGATATTTTTGATGTTTTCTTCTCGTTTCTACAAATAAAAATATGAGCATTATTTCGATATTTGTGTAGTGAGAGCAAATCATTTGATTTGCCCTGAAATGTCACCGCATCTGAAATTTTCACTATTAGAGCACATAAAAGAAAAATGGAATCGATAGTCAGTGACACTTTCTGTTGAAAGACATTTGAATAGGAATAGGCTATCTGATAGGAAAGTTCTTTAAACGCAGTGACATTTTGGGACAAATCATCTGATTTGTCTTAACTACACGTATATTGAAATAGTATTCATATTTTTATTTTATAGAGACGAGGAGAGAAAATCCCAAAGAAATCTGGAATAATGAATGTACCACCTCCTCGATTAATCTACACAGTGAATAGTATGCTTGAAATAAGCCAATAACATATTCGGTAGTTTTACAATGTTTAAGAGGCAGCTGAAGCTTTTCTCTGATGTATCCTAAACTCCGACATGAATATGCCTCCTTTGTCCAATTCCTCCAAACTTCTTCATACATAAATCGTCATGTTCGAGGTCAAAACCTTAATAAAGGGCTGCTCGTAGGGTCCATAGTAAAGGTCTGGCTCTGGTCCACTAGCACAAGGTATTTCTTCTCAAGAATGGTTGAGTCGAATATACTTCTGAATAACGACCAGCAAGGGGAGGCCGGCAAACTCCTGTAGAAATATTTCTAACAGGAAGGACACTGAAGAGATCGTTATCTTCATATCATTCATGATTTATCCATTACTCATTTGCTTCGATAAAGTGTGCGACAGCATCAACATCCGCTGTTCTCAACTGAGAAAAAATAAAATGAACCATGATACCAGACATGAGTGTTTTTTTTTAACTTGATAATAATAATCGAGAACTACTTTACTATACTAGAGTACCTTGATGGTTTTCTTCATATAAGAGAACGGACACTCGACGAGCAGTGACAGTCAAACTCCTGTATATTTTTAAGCATTCAATAATCTTATTAGTGAAACTGTGAACAATATTGAACTGGTAGTGGAAAAAGTCAGGCATTATATAATGGTCAGGAAAAAAATTATTTTTATATTTTGAAGAACTAACCCAAACAAGTTCACTGCTACAAAATATTTTCTTCTAGAGCTCTTTTTATTTTTCCAACAATAATCATTGAAATTCACGATATTTCATAACAGGAAAATCTCGCCGGACAAAATGAAGTTGACCTTGATGATATACGAGCTCTGTCTCAGTGAAGTTGATTGATTGATTATAGCAGAATGACCAGTCAGGGTTCAAAGCCTAAAGCACTGCAGTCTTTGGGCCTATTGTATTCCTGATCATGCTGTTGACTCAGGTGAGCAGTCTCTTCACCAAATCTTTCGTTGGGAAAACCTCATGTGAGTTTAGTGCTCCCAGAAGGTTGTATCTCCAGCGCGCTAGTGCCTCGCACTCTAATATTACATGGGTGGCCGTTTCCTCCCCCTCCTCATTGCATAGTCTGCATATGGGTTCGTCTGTATAGATACCCATTTGAAGCATATGCTTCCTTAAGGGGCAGTGACCGGTTATTAGTCCCGTCACTTGTCTGATCTGACTTCTGTTTAGGCTCAGAATGTCTTTGTCCTGGAACGTTGTTCCAGTATGCCTGATGCCTTTCTTGCGTCCACCTTGTCAGCCAGCCACGTATTGAGGTTCTGGGGATTCCGAACACAGGTTCCGGTCCAATAAACCTCGCCGCAGACCCTTGCCTGGCAACAGCTCCATCTGCTTCATTGCGTTCAATTCCCTTATGCCCTGGCACCCATTGAAGCATTACCGTGTTGTGGTTACCCATGGTTAGCAGGCTTTGATGGCAATCCCAGGCCAGTCTTGATCTGATTTTATGGCATGTTAAAGATTGGATGTCACCCTGACTATCTGAGCATATAAGGATTTGTTTACCTCTGTAACATATATTATCCTCTCACGATATTCTCTCTCAGACATGTCTCAATAGCATTCACCTCTGCCTGGAATACTGAAGCATACCTCCTCAAGAAAGCACAAACCCTAGTTCTGGGCCTGTCTCCATATATTCCGACTCCCGTACCCTTATCAGTCTTACACCCATCAGTGTACCACACTAACGTGCCTTCCTGACAGTTAGCCAGTAGAGCCGAGTGTTGAAGGGTCTGTAATAGTTATTTTTGGGCAGCATTTTGTCACTTCCAATTTCCATTAGTGGGTTTGAAACCAGGCTGATTATTTTGGTATGTCCCAAGGAGTCCCCCATAGCATGCCAGTTGCCACTACACGCCTGTCTGTGTGCCCCCATCCCCGCTTCTGCCTTGATAAAGATATCAAAAGGCAGAATGTTGAGTAAGGTTTCCATAGCAGCGGTAGGAGTGCTGCGCATTGCACCTGTGATGCAGAGATAAGCTAATCTCTGGAGTTTTGAGAGCTCCATTAGCAGCATCAGTGCCATTTTGCCTTTGCTGACAGTCTTTCTTAGTTGAGTATTCAGTGAAGTTGGCCGAAATATCAAAACTACGTATTTATGGAATTTGTCATTTGCGAAAAAGTATTGAAAACATCACTGCTGCGTTACATCGCCTTTTGGACGGATTACTGCTTCGATACATCTCAACATAGTGTCAACTAAAATTTCATATGGTGTAAAACTAAGAAAAATAATAAGCAGCTCCATTTTGAATGCGCGGGAAATGACCTTGAATTTTTAGTTTTATCTGAATTTTTAGGTGAATAACAGCGACTATTATTTGCATAAAAGCGATTATTGAATACGTTTCGTGTTTTTTTCTCACAGTTTCAGTGAATTTTTCATTCTGATTCATTTTTAATTCTACATATTTCTCAACATACTTAACCTGAAAAATGTATTTCAGATTTACTCAAAGTGTATTTTCAGTAGATTTGTTGATAATTTTATAATACCTATATATTTGACAATGGGAAGGTCTGGGGAAATGGGATTTTTTAGTTGAAGGCTGTAAGAGTAAAGTGGGTAGGTACTTCAATTATTTCCCTTGGTCCATAACATTGGTTTAGGTTTTCGCATCAATCCTATTCAAGAAGTGCCAATTCTCCTAATTTAATTTGTTATTTTTCGTCTTTACTCTTGTTTCATAGAGGTATCTCAAGCACTAGGTTTGTGACGAAATTCAATATTTCAGTGACAAGAACAAAGAAGTTGGCAGCTAATGTAATAAGAATAGATACAAAATGAAGATCAAAGAAATTGCCAAACAGAATCAGATAGTGCATATTATTCACCATGGCACGAAAAAATGATTCTTCATTTTTCACCAACTCATTTTTTCAAGAGTCACTAGTCAGGATCAAAATGTAGATATGAAGATAGTATTGAAGAGGAAACATGAAACTTTCATCTGACAAGATCACTCAGAAAGAAAACATTTGAAGGAATCTCTCAAGATGGCAAGTGTGATGTTTACATTTGCTAGAATACTTTGGTTTTACTAATCATGACCCAGATGTTTTTCTGAGAGATTTTCTGAAATGAGAATAGGTATCTTCTATGGAAATAATATGAAAAGTACATACATGAAACAAATGCAAATAGCTAATGATATAATTTATGTATAAATGATGGATAATAGGACAGTCTATGTTAACTTGAGGAGTCCAATACACTTTCGTAAGTATTACAATGTATGATGTTGAATGATATGTTAGTTTTTTACTTTGGCAAAAGTATTCCATTTTGGCAAAAGTATTTGAGAAAATTTTGAAATTCAGAATAAGAAATTATTTGAATACTCATACATTCTTGTCAAATTGACAAAAATTCATCCATTCATCGACAACCAATGTCTCCACGATAAAAGAAAAAATATTCATGTAATATTATGTCCACCGATTCTATTGATTCTTGTAAAGGGAAAATATATTGAGCAATTGCATTTCTCTTGGAAAGTGAACATTGGGATATATTTTTACAAATAAAATTGTTAATATGGACAATAAATAAAATATAATATGGAATACATGATAAAATATACATACTGAATCAAGCAGCAACATCAAAAAATCTATCGATTATTGCTGAAACTTCATCTGGTTTATGCTTGATATATTTGTCCGTATTCTTGGTGAAGGGGAAATGTGAATACCTGCGAATTCACAAGTTAATTAGAATATAAAAAATAGCAGAAACTTACTTATTGAAAAAGGCGTTGTATCTTGGAATAATAAGTTCCTTATTATCTCGTTTTATACTCTCGCGAAGTTCAATATCAGGAATAGAGTAACCTCTTTGGACTCTTGATATTTCATCAATTTCCTTGTTGAATCCCTGGAAAATTGCCATGACAGTATTTACGAAAATGAAGTTCATAATTGACTTACAGCAAATCTTTCCTTAAGTACTGCCCTCTCCTTATCCTTCAATTTTTCACTGTGGAAGTTAACTGCAGGGTCATCACAATTTATATAGTTCAGGAGTTTATGCCAACTGAAAATTTAAAAACGTATTTCTTGGGAGGTATAACTAACAGCGTATCAGTTGAGCATTTGTACTTTTTTGGTTGAAATATATTAGTGTAGGTCCCCATTTGTTACCCCGTGTAATTTTTTTAGTGAAAGATAAAACTCACTAGATTATGAAACAGTCGTAAACCTTTGAAAACATGTAGCGTGTCATTTTTTTACATTAAATTTGCCTGAAATCCAAAATGGCGACGAAACTAGCTAATTGTATACAGTTTTCCTCATTTGTATCAGTTGTAATGAAATAACACATAGTGACTATATAGGTTGAATCATTAAGAATGGGCAATATCTGGACTATAGATAGTATACACCAAAATATGCAGATTTAACCCAACATGCTTTATAGAAATGTTGCAGATAAACCCTGTAATGTGTCTACACTCTTCAAAGAGCGTAAAATAAGATGTTCAAGGCACTCTAGTGTTTACTATCTGTAGTTCAGATATTTCCTATTCTTAATGAATTACCCATTATATAAATAGTTTCTGGCTGATAATAACTAAGGACATTCTTAAATAGTCCCCCTTAACCTATTATCGAAGGTATCATTCAGTAAATCAGAGTCAATGGCCCTTCAAATTTGTATGCACATCACACAGTATTATGCTGTGGCAGTAAAATTATAATCTGATGAATAGATTCGGCTCTGTGGGTAGTTTTGAATTGATGAACGCATTCGACAATGTGCTTGCAAGCTGTACAATTTTCAATATGTACCTATCTTATGAATAGTTTGGCAGCTCGCAGAAGGACTTTTACTTGGATCACTGCATTTTCTCTCTTGTTACCTGGGAATAGTAAAAAAGTGTCCATTGCTTTGTTAAAAGACTTTGGCGTGAATTTTGTGTAGAGACAGGTAAAGTACACGTCAAAGACGCTATTCCCTAATTTTCACGTTATGGGGTATAAAGAATAACCAATTTTATTCTAGGAAATCCTTTATGATTTTTCAATATCATTCGTCAAGAGCTGCCATAAGCTGATCAGTACAGTTAATTTTTGATCGTCTCAAGAATTTTCATGTCAAACAAATTGTGTGAACTGGACGATCTGAACATGGTTACAGGAGTTGCATGCTTTATTTTTCTACCTCACATTTACCATGGCTGGAGCATATTAAATGGAATATTATAATAGCTGAAAGGGGCCAGGTAGCCGTGCGGACAAAGTATCAATATTCTAATCCGCATTCGCTTGCCGGTCGTGGGTTCGATTTCCATCGACTGCAAACATTTTTCTGATGGCCCAAGAAAGTGTTTGGGATCACACGTTAAAAGGTAAGGCCCCCGTCACTCCTTGCTCGCACAAGTCTCTTGAAGACTTCTGAGGATTGCTCGTAAGGGGGCAACCGAATGACGGATAGAACAATTTTAGAACAATTTTAGAACAATTTTAGATCCTAATATATGATTTGCACACCTATAATATATTGCATCTTCACACATTCGTTGGTCTGTTATTCTGTCGTTCCTGCCTGTTTCATAACCTATAAAAATAATAACTTCTACGCCAAGCCAATGAGCCAACTAAGTATGTCGAATAATTCAACAGACAACAGCGATGTTAAGTTCCCCTTTGGTGTAAGTGAGCCAGCAGAAGACTATTGTGTTATAAAATTCTTCGACAATAGTTTATGAGGATTGAGGATATTCATAGGTAGTTTTCATATATATTGCAGATCATGAAATGGTTTTTCACGGAATTTTAGTAAATATGACTGAGATGCAGTTAATGATGAAAAAAAAGTTCAAACAAATTTAGTTCCAAAGATCATTGTACAAAGAGGAGGCATGATAAACAAAACGACATTCCTATCAAATCTTTACAAGAACTTGGAAATTTTGAGGAATTCTACATGACGACAATAAATAAATACTGGTGAGATCAAGAAAAACGTGTAATTCATTCATATTTATGTGCATGCCATGGTTACAAAAACTGTGCTATAAAAACAAGTCTACGCGGGTATGCTCTTTATTTGAGATTACGCTCTCTTTCAAAATATTTTCGAAGTAGGTACCCTGTATTTCATTGCAATTCAAGATTCTCCCTGAAGAGCTAATTTCATCAATACATCAAACTTGGGGGTCTAGCGGGAATGATTACAGATATATGGGGTGTTTAAAATCGAGATTCTTCAACTTTAGGATTCTTTCCTGTCAGAACTCGAAACTATTCATTATTATAGTCAAAACGGCTGTCCCTATCTTAACTTATAATTTATAATCTACTGAAATTTAATTGAAACAAATACAGAGTGGTTCAAGATTCAGAATACTGATCACTCTGTACTTGTGTGCGATTTGTAACTGATAATTTATAAAATAATTATGTGATCAGTCTGGAAGAAATCTTATTTTCAATTTGAAGGCATTTGATGATCTTGAATCCCAACAAAATTTTCGTCTGCGGGGCATTTTTACTAAGCATAATTTTTTGTCTGAGATTCTTGGCCCCTTCCTAGTATACACTGAAATTGAGTTGTTGTCACTATAGAAAAATCTAATTTTCAATTTGAAGGCATTTGATCTTGAACCCCAACAAAATTCGCATAGTACTTAAAATTGTGTCTGACTTTATTGGCTCCCCCCCCTGGTTTGGTACGACGCATCCTTGGGCTAAAAGCAACAAATGTCTGTTTTGTGAGAGATCACTGATTGTCTATTGATTCATTTTAGTTTCAAATAGATATCATTAGTATTACTATCAGCATTGTTGTCATGTTCACCAGGTGGTATCATGATGATTCATAGTAGCACTTTACTTGAACCATCCTGTATGGTGTGATATTCGAATTTATCATGAGATATTAGTCAGGGTTGTTATATAAATGTAACCGTTGAAGAATGTGAATCAGATAGCAGAAGTGACACAGTTGTATTCGATACTTGTCTGAGTGTGGTCCAATAGATATTAACTGAAAGCATTTGTGTTTCAATAGTCAACCTAACAGTTTCTTCAATGTTAGTCTAAGAAAATACTTTGGATTGCATTGTCTTCATCATAATGAAGTAGTAAAAAGCTAGTTTTCAATTGTTTTTCAATTCATAACATTGACACTTATGCAACCAGGGGGCCTCGCTAAATTCTCCTTGCCCACAACAAATTTTGGTCTTGCCCCGCCACCGCGTGTTGCTATGCATGTAAATTAATGCATCGCCGCGCACAGAATCGGATCGGTCAGATTGTCTCGGCCTCGGCAGAGAATGATAGAAGGGTCAAAAACTGCCGATTGTGCCGAATTCCCTCAGTACTGGTACGGTTTTTGAGACGAAGGAGTGTATGAACAAAGCTGCAAATTCAAAGTTATGTCTCCAAATGATTCCCAAAATAGGTACTACTACGACAACATTCGTATATGTTCCATAGGTTCCCCTTTCAAAATTGATGTTACGGATCAGAACCTTGGTTTATGTTTTTTTCTATTTCTTCGCATGCTAAGGCAATCGTAATATCTTCTTCAGATTCAGATGAACTCAATTTCTCTTGTATTGAAATTAAAATTCGTGTGCACTAAACAACATCTGAAGATATACTGAATGTGCGGAATCAGTGCGCGGTATAAGATGACATGCCGACCGTTCCGAGTCGATTCAGTACGCGTCTTCATTTATGCATACAATACAACAGTACCTATCAATGATGTTTAATGCCTTTTAGCTTGTTGTTACTTATTGCAATTCAAAAAAATATAATAATAAATAAGGAACATAGCAAACAAACCGGCATTGATGTTGCCATTACAATCCTGATCCTGGTATAACTAGAGTCACTGGATGGTATTAGTTAGATACGAGTTCGGACAAAGCTGAACTTCTGTCCTTTTTTATTTACTATATTACAATGGTTTGAGTGAATGAAAGAATAAGACATAATATATTCTGCTCTTTGTCTTTTCAATTTCCCTAGTGGGATGTAGATGTATGAATATAATGATTCCAGAGAATAGTAATTGAATATTGGGAACATAATAAATCTGATGGCTTCTTCAGCACACAACTTCATTACATACCTTTGAGAATATGTCTTCTTATTATCCTGTATAGAATTATAATAATAATCTTGACATTTGGGTTCCGATATCAAATATAGGTCCATCAGATGTGTTCTCTGAAGTGACTTCAATACATAGTTATTATTGTTAAGTCGGAATAGCGCCTTTAGTGCAAAATCATTGTACTGTTCACTTTTACTAATCAAGGTGTGGTTCAATTGGACAAGAACTTTCTCTGAAACAGAAATAAATAGTTCACCCACTTCTTACAAACTATATTAATAGTCATAAAGCTTATTAGTGAAAATAAACCATTATAAAAATACTCACTTATATATAAGCCTAGTAAAGCTTTACTTCTATCAGTGAATTTCAATTTACTTAGTTGTCTAGTATAATTTTGGTCTTGTTCTAAAACAATGCCAATGGTATCAGTGTAGTCCAAGAGTTGTTCTAGGAACATTATAACATTGCTAGTCATTTCGTGAACAGTTCCATCACTTGGTAATTGAGTAACAGAATCAGATCGGATGCTATCTATAAAATCTTCCAATGTCTTATAACCCTAAAATAAAATATAAAATCACGGACATACAGGAAGCCATCTAGTAATCATATTGAGACTTTTTCATGTCTATAAGGGTACTCACTGTGGAATGAAGCATCTGTATTATTTGATCAAATTTCTGTTTCACATTCAGATCATAATCTTCCACGGTTCTTTCGAACTCAGGTTTCAAGTTCCTCAGTTGCTTGAAAATTGGAAAAAGTACAAGAACTGTAGCAAAGTCATGTCTTGCAATGCATTTCTTTGCCCTAGATATTATATTCTGAAAAATTAATATAAATTATATTCCAAATTCTAAAAATTGCAACAGAATTACAAATTTTACTTAAAGTGCTGCAAAGTACAATAAATATAGTAACAAATCCTAGCCCGAAATATATAATATGCTACCATCTCCACTTCCAGTGAATACCACTGTATAAATTCTATAACAGTAGGGAAAATCTCAGACATTTTCACACATGTTCAATAAAATGAACAATAATGGTGGATGACTGGAAAAAACTACTACTTCTCTGGATATTGGCTAATGCCAAGCAGGACATTGAATTCTATCCTCTCGAAATCTATGCAATGATTTGTACAAACGAATACAGATTGCAAGTGTTTCTTTCCAAAATGCCGAATTGTGTTGAAATTGTAGACAGGTAATGCTTGACATCAACAGACTGGTTTAGGGTTATTGGCACTTATCCAATCCAAGAAACACCAAGTCAGCATTTAGGTATCTATTCAGAGAAACTGGCCCCACGGTAATATGTAATAATAATAATTTAAATTATTTAACGACCTTCTGAAAGATTACTGTGGTGTTGTTTTTGGGTATGTATAGGTGTTAGATTAAAGAAAACTACATTTCTTGAATGCCAACGTTTCGTCAAGGTGGTCCGCTTTCAAATGGGTCACTCTGTATACATATTTGATTGAAAATTACTGAAAAAAGAGAAACGCAAAGAAACAAATAAATAAACCACTTTCATTAAATATTTTTCAAGGATTTTTTTTCTATTTTGAATTCAGTAATATTCCTACAATCTTTTGTGTCTTGTGGTAGTTCATTGAATTTCAAAAGTGCTTCGTGAGCAAATCTCTTTTGGCCAATTACAGTCTTGTATTATAATTGTGAATTCCCGATTTTCTAGTAAATATAAAATTAGATTTCATCATTTCATTGTTAATAAGATAGGATGATTTGAGTGTTATTTGCATAATGTTCCCAAAAAAAACTGTTAGTCATTCAATAAAGTTGATTTGTTGGAGGTCATATTCACAGCGGAGGGAAAAACACTTCAAAACGAAAAAAATTTCGTAATTTGAACTATAAATGATTTATATTATGCAAATATCCGACGTTCAAGACAAAGGCACGATAGTCACAATGCAAGGATTGACAGATGACATGATCTGCAACTTCACAAGTGCCATCTGCATCAAGCTTTAGAGATCACTTATCATTCCATGTTTATAGCATGAAATATAAAATTCAAATAAGCTCTGTATATGAATTTCATGCACACTCGTTATGATATATTTTGAGAGATCTCGGTCGTTAGCCAAAAAGGGAAAGCCAATAAAGTTATTTTATCATTATTATTTGAGATATAAACAAAGAAGTACTACTAATTACATCCATGTTCAAATTGGAGTTGATGAGAATATTAAGAGAAAAAAGTTTCCGTGTTTTCTCTTAATGAAGTCCGTATAAATTATACCTCTCCATCCTGAACAATTGTATCCATAGCTTCCCTAACGATCAACTCAAAAACTCTTGGTTGATGGGCCGGTGTTATGATATCTTTCATTAAAATCTGTTCAAATTGCATCAGTCTATGTAAAGCTATCACAGATATCAGGTAATTCTCCATTTCTTGTTCATTATCAAGCTCTTCACCAGTGTAAGAAGTATCTGAAAAAAAGAAAACGATTCACTAGTGACACTGAAACCTAGAAGTAATTGTAGTATTTCACCTAAAATTTGGGATAATATGACGATTTCATAGAATACTAACCTAAATGTGAGGCTCGTCTTGTGCCTAAGGATAATCCAGTAGAGTGTTCTAGGGTTTGAGAAGCTTTCAAAAACATTTTATTTGCTTTCCTCTCAAAAACTTGATGAATTCTTCGAGTTGAAGGTTTTCGCGATGTTTCATGACGATTTGGAAATTTGGTTTTCTGAAAATGAATGCATGAAATATGCAGTTGCTGTGCCAATCACAATGTTGGTAAGACATGAGAAAGTTGTGTCATTATTGATTTCATTGTGGCTGATTGTTGTTCTTCCATATAGGAAACCATAGTTTGTATATTGTATTATAGAATCGAATAGAATTCATTCAAGATAGGATTCATCCTAATATTAACAGATCCAATAAAATGAGAACAACACATAGCATTACACTAACAAATTCTTGATTAAATATACACAAATAAATGTTTAATTTCATTATAGCAAGTCTCTTTGTTTTAATCCTTAATACATTTTATAACGTTTCTAACAGTCTCACATTCTTTAATGCTTTGAGAAAGAGATATTCTTCGAGTCCTTCAGAAAGCATTGAGTTAATTATATTGAATTGATGAATTGTTCTAAAACCGTTCATGCGAGTATACAGGGTCCTGGCCATTTATTAGGGACACGATTGCTACTTTCTAAACATTAAGAGATAGAAAGTTGATCAACCTAGAGAAAAGTTGCGTAATTTGAAAGAACTCCAGCTGTTCCAGAGAAAATTTGAAAAAACTGAATATCACTGATTTCATTTTTATTCATTTCCTTGGTTATCATTGCAGGGGGAAAATTGAATTTTGCGTGAACAGGTAATCAATCATGACAAAGAAGTTGGGATTATCAGAAGTATTTCATCTTCATTAGTTTCATAGATTCACTAACCATTTTTTGCTGGTAACGAATGTGATATGCCATGATAATAAGAAAACCAAATATCAATTAGGAATGATTCCGAACCTATAGACTATAGACCATCATTGAGATGAACTCCAGAGGTTCATTCGCCTTCGTCCGGCCTTCAAAAGCTACGGATCATCCTTCAAGGAGAACTTGAGACTATTCTTAAGAATGCTTGAGAAAATTTGATTAACCAGATGTCACAGCGGTAAAATGCTGTTATTCAAGCTGGAGGAGGGCATACTAGTTATTGACTACATCTAGGAAGTTTATTTTCTATCATCGTCATGACTACAGCATTATTACCATTATAGCCATGTATAACAGGATAAATTATGATGAAAAAAGAAGAAAGAGGCACAGAAAAACCATGAGTATGTTAAATAATCAAGATACTATTACCTGAACTTAACTTGCTTTGGAAATCAGATACCTGATGAATCTAACATGATAAATAATCAAGATCCTATTACCTGAATTTGACTTGCTTTGGAAATCAGATACCTGATGAATCCAACATGTCTAGAATGAAATCTGAAATCGAATTGAATGTGAGGATGAGTAATGTATTTTTACTCAAAAAATATCAAGTATGAATCAATGAACATTGATAAATATTGAATTTTATCATAGAAACATAACGGAACTAAAACCCAAGTCAAGACCGTCAAACCCAACACTAAATAACAACCTTCGATGAATGTTATAGGTCGGCCATGATTATTTAGCGAAACATTTGTATTGTTGTTTTTTTGTGTCTTATTTCTCTTTTTCATCATAATGTAGTGTGTTATACATAGCTATAAAGGATTATCGATACTGAAGTCATGACGACTATTTTGTTTTCTCATTACCACATTCTAAACCAGCAAAAAACAAACGTTGTGGGGTAAATCATCTTTGTCATGATTGATTACCTGTATACGCAAAATTTCAAAATATCTCAGAAACGGTTGTTTTTCAAATTTTAAACGTCATATTGAAAAGGTTTGAATTACGTAACTTTTGTCTAATTTGAACTTCCTATCCCTTAACGTTCAGGAAATAGTACTGTCACTATTAAATGGACGGGACCCTGTATATCAAAGAAATTTTTTTCGAAGTTTAATTTATAAAAACCAATCCTTACAAGCATAGGAGAGCTAGTTGTACCATGTACGCTTCCACCGCTAACTGATTTTTGGTGGTTTCTCAACATCGTTAGAGATCTCTGAAGCACATTTCCACGCACTTTTCCGTAAACTGTCAGATATTCGTCTCGTCCATTATCAAGCAGCCACGAAGATATCTTTATCAAGTGAGATTTTGCTTCATCTGGAATTTGCTTTGGTGTCACCTTCACCTCTTTCGCAGGAGGTTCTGTAATGATAAATTTTAGAAATAATGGTGTCTCAGATAGGAAAAGGATATTTCATTTCAGTTGCATTATTTAGTTCACTAACACATTTTTTTTTACCCATTCAGGAATTGAAATTGATTGAAGTGATATTTTTTTCAATATCAATATTTTCAACTTTCTGTAGTGTTTCTAAGGCCTCAAAACCACGAGTTACAGCCTTATTTGAACGGTAAACAAATAACCGAACATTGATAGCAAGTGTACCGTCAAGTTACCATGCATTTTATTGGAATTTCAGTGTTAATCGTTATTTTGTCGAAAGTTTGAATTATTCAGTTGAGTATATTGAAAAAATTCCATGATAGTGAGACCCATGATCACCTATGGAGGACTGGCAAAACCGAAGTAAACAAAACGAGGAACATTTTAGAGGAGGTGCTGAGGTTACAATGAGTCTGCATACCGAGAGTAAAGGGATTGATTCAGTACTTGATATCATTCTGGACCTCATGACACCTCTCTACATAGTGGTGGAAAGAACTGCCTGGGGAGCGCATCTCAGGTTAGCTCAAGTTGGTTTGAACGTTGATACACACATACAAAGCTCTAAGTAATTTCCACAAATGTTCATAAATGAATGAAACTGGTAGATATCGAGAGAAAAACAACTACTTTTCTGGCCACATTGTAAAATTGTTTTTTGTAAAATTGTTCTATCCGTCATTCGGTTGCCCCCTTACGAGCAACCATCAGAAGTCTTCGAGAGTCTTGTGCGAGCAAGGAATGACGGGGGCCTTACCTTTTAACGTGTGATCCCAAACACATATGCCACGCAGAACATTTAATTACATCATCCCAAAATCCCCCAAATCATCTTGCCGATATTCCTACTGATGATTTACTACACACTGTTTTACCACTTACCAAACCGATTATTTTACGCCTCGACACGTGTTTCGCCAACTTTGTTATCATCTTCAGGATAAGATTAAAACTGAATTTTCTATCTTAGTGTGCTACTTATACACTAGGTACATGTCCACCCAACCGTGAAAGACACTAACCGCCAAGTTAATGTTAGTCATGGTTGAGTTCACATGTTAACCTTGGTCTTATATCACTTAACTATACAGAGGGCTGGATGGGATAGGTCCATTATCTTTATTCATTATTATATTACTATTCTCAAATACCTCCAACCTTTCATATGCATCTAATTTCTTAACATGATTACCTGGCTCAACTAATTTGAGGTTAAATACTGTCTGTAGGTTATTAATATGTGTGTTATGATTGTGATTGAACATGTGTTCGGCTACACACGATTCATCTCACCTGCCATATTTCAAATGTGCTAAGTGTTCTTTGAACTTTGTTTTTATGGGACGCCTGGTTTGGTCTATATATGTTTTATTTTCTACATGATTCTGTAACCTTGACGTGCTATAAACCATAATATGTATGAGTAACATAGTCAAATGAATCTATCTAAATCTATCTATCTTTTATCGCAATGATTACAACTAATTTCGCATATTCCTGACTTTTCAAGTGTGTCCACCTTATCTTCTGGATTACCTAATAAATTGCCTAATTTTGACCCGGACTGATAAACGCTTTCAAAACCGTCTTTGAAAACCTTATCAAGTCCTCTCGTGTACTTGGGATTGAACGGGATTGGGATCCTTCTCGAATTGTTTTTCTCCGCTTGAAAAGTCGTAGAATTCCGAAGTGTTAACTTAAATTTGTGTCTACGTATTAATTTATCTACTATTTTGGTATCATAACCATTGACTTTAAGAACAACACTTCTTTCAACATCGAATCTTTGGTTGCTCAGAGGAAATGAAACTAGTCTATGTACTAGGAAATTTAAACTTGCCATTTTGTGTGGAAAACAGGAATTGGAGTAATTAGCTATATATCTAAGTGTGTGAAACTAATTAGTTTCTTTTCTAAAAACATCAAATTTTAAGTTATTTTTGCCATTTTTGATCACAAGAAGATCTGAGAATGGTAATTGGCCGTTATTTTCGCATTCAAAAGTGAATCTGATAGAGGGGAAGAAATTATTCTATTGTGAAATAAAGTTATCTATATCTGTGATTTTCGTATCAAAAATAGAAATCATTGTCGATATAGCATTGAAGAAACATTTTGGTAATCCAACGTGTTAGCTATACTTGAATGTATCAAACCTATTTCAATATGGAATTATATACAGGATAAGGCATTGGAGAAACATTTTGGTAATCCAACGTGTTACCTATACTTGTATGTATCAAACATATTTTTGATTAGGTGAGTTATCATTGAGGTATTTCAAGGTTTCCATACCTTTTGGATTACAGTAATATGAATAGAAGTAACCAATCAAATTAATCAGGCTAGATTTTTTCAGAACTTACCATCAAAATTTATCAAATCTAGTAGAACTACTGGTAAAACTGGGGTGTTATACTTGTCTAATATAGTCTTGAACTCAGCATTCAGTTTATCACTCCCTTTGTGGAAAAAAGATGACTGAAAAATACGGAATAATAAAAATTTCATGACATAATCTTGTTCGAAGTTAGTTATGGTTTATTCAATAGGGAACCTTACAGCCAATTCCTCCAACTAGAGACTTCACTATGTTAGGACGTAAACATAAATAGGATGTGATAATTTGTACCTGTCTGTACGTCTGTCAATTTTTTCGTGATTTTTAGTTGTTCAGAATCTTGTTTTCTAAAGAATATGTACCATACAGTAGTATGGTACATTGAGACGCAAAAATATTGGGGTACCTTTTAATTTTTTATGGATGAAAAAGTTTGACACCAATGGGAAGAAATATAGTTGTGAGTTGCAACAAATTCAAGATCACGAACATTATCTACACTTTGTTCAGAGTAGGTTTGAATTGCGTAGATACCACTAACATAACCTACTATGTATACCACTATCTGTCATAACCCAACAACCCGAATTGTCATTCTTGAGTGTTCGGAAACATGAGGAGTGTTCTCATATTCCAATGATGAATTTCATCTGGTAATTACTAATGGATGTCCTTTGACGTCATAGATGACTCAATGAAGTGCAGATTTCAACTGAATACCGGAAAGATTCGATGTATTCAAAATAAATGTCAGCAGCATTGTGGTTATGTAAAACTCTGAAAAAATAAGAAATTAAGCTCCACTGGGATAAACTTCTGTTTAGATGCTAATGCCATGAACCTATGCCACACTCACGAGATTTAAATGGAAAACATGGTTCATGCGTATTTAAGACCTCTCATATACCTTAATCACTCTTACTCATGTTTCCGAATACCAAGACACATGACACAATGTCATGAACGACAGTTTGAGAATTCCTGCGCATTGAGCAGAAGCGTTTTCAGTGATAAGCTTTTCAAAACATGAATTATTTTGTATTTGTAAGAAACTTGACAAACAATAAGATTTCCACAAAATTCTTGAACACAGCTAACACAGTAGCTTCTTCAGGTGAAATACTCGTACAATAAACATGTTTTTTGTGGAAATCTTTATCTTTGTGAAGTTTTTTTACATGTACTATAGATTTCCATCAAGTTACGGCCGAGTCAATTCAAAATACTTTGTATTTATCGAAGTTCTGTAAGTATAGTGAGTTTAGTAGGTAAGTATAATATACGTTTGGTATTCATAATGCCTAATTTTCGCATTTTAGTTCACAAAACGTGATCCTGTATTCTTTTCAGCCGTTTTCAGCCGACAAAAGTAAATATCCATATTGACTATTGCTCGTATCTTCTACACAAAAGACGATCATTTCTTCTTTTTAACCCGCAAAAATATCTCACTTTATACTTCAGTGGTGCAATCAACACCTATCTTTGCCTAAGATTCCCTATTGAAATGATTATACAAGGTGTTGCAACCAAAACAGGTATCGTTCTTTCCATATGTTACAAACTCTAACTTACAACATTTATCAGCTCAACGCTTTGTGGAATGTTCTTCTCAAAGTACTTTTGGGCACTTGCAAGTCTGTTGAGAGCATCTATATAAGTCTGCAAATTTATACCTCCTTCTCCAGGACTCTTTTCTATAATATGTTCCACATCAGCTGCAACTTCATAATGGCTTATAACATTATCTAACAGGTGTAACGTGCGATCAATATCTGAAATATCTATAGGAACCAATACTCAAAACATTATTCAAATTATCATAAATTTCATTACAAAGTAATAAGTGAAGTAACAAGCGATATTTGGTAATTTCATTTGCATAAAAAATGATAGGAGGGCTGACATTTTATTTTCTATGAAAGTTTTGAAACTTTAAATAATATTGGTACGTAGCTACAGAGGGATCTAAAATGTCAATACTGAGAGAGGAATTTCGAGAATCAATTGTCTGCTAATGCAAGATAGACTGTTTTGGTTTGCCAAGCCCCAAAAATATCTGGTAATCAAACTTATTCAATAAAGGAGAGATTAAATATACGAGGACGATGTACCCTTCCGAACCACCAAGTGGTAAAATGCACAGGACTACGAGTTGATGGCACTTCAAACCACTTTGAGATTTTCAGATGTTGCGAGTTGTAAAACTCTACAGAAATGAGGCATTTTGTCTATATTATGTAGTTCAAACGTAGAGGTTTGCTTTCGGCGGGTTCGCATGTTATGGCCTGTGTATACCTACCCATACCATATTGCAATATTCCACGAATTAGAAATTATAGGTTGGCATTCAACCAAGTCGTCTACCGATGGGAAATTTTGTTAATTAGCTCAAGTAACTCTCATTTTATATATTTTGAAAAAGTTTTGTGGAGAAAACAGTATTAGTAATAAAATAGGAAGTCACAGACATCTACAATTAGCTCTCATAGAGAAATTAACTGATTCAAAGTTTTTCACTGACAACTGAATGGCAATGGCAGTGATAGTCTTCAACTGTATGAATCATTCAGATGCATTCAGATGTTCATGAAGGAGTATACTAAAAGGCATACTACTATGATGAATAACTTTTCAATTAATGATCTTATGAAAAAATGAATATCAATGTTCATGACCTGAGGGATATTATATTGATGAGTTCCTAACCTGTTATTGAGGTTTAAGTGTAAGAATAGCGTTCGCTAAACTTCGCCTTTCTAAAGTCAATGTACTATCATGTTCTTCATGAATAAAGACGATTATTATTATTATTATTATTATTATTATTATTATTATTGCGGACTTGAGCATAAGATCAAAACTCATAGATTGTCCCAATGGCTCCCGTTCGTTTTGGTCCCTTGCTAACCCAATAAACACAGCTACGTGGAAAAAACGTTGAATTGTTCAAGTAACGCCTCCATTATTCATCGTTGAAAAAACGGCAAAATGTCGTTAGGCAATACGTTTTATTCTGGTTCTACAGTAACGTTACCTCTTCACGTTGATTCATCGTAACTAAGACGTTGCACACGTAGCACACGTAATGTGAATTCTACTGATATATACCGTTTTATTTCAGTTCCGACGTAACCATTCAAATCAACAGTTTCTTAACGTTTTTTATACGTTTCCAACCGATATAAATATAACGATGTATTTTGGTTTCAAACTTGGTTTCAAAGTAACGTTGCTGAGATACGAATTCTGAACGTTGATGTTAACTCTAGAATTAAACGTGAAATTGCAGAATTCAAGTAACGTTGATCTTCTAGATTGAATCAACGATGATTTATCTTATTGTCGAATCGATATTACTACCAATTTTAAACGTAACTAAAACGTTTCTGAGGCATTAGGTGAAGTAACGTTTCCATTTTCACTACGGATCAATCTTTATTATCATCGCAAATTGATTAAAAATAATAAAAATAACCAAAATACAAATACAAGATTCATAATGTGTATAGTCCTAGATCCTAGATATCAATGGAATCTCAATCAGATAGGTATCACTATTTTGTTTTCGACTCGAGACTTGATGGCGTCATTCATCCGTTTCTTCGCAAACTTCAACCAGTCCTTGGTTGCATCTGCAATATGGACATCAGTTACTGCTTCAAACTTCCTTTCGACAGCAACTGCATAAATTATTCAATATGAATATAATGAAAAACGAAAAAAGAAATTTACATACCATAAATTAGTTGGATCACCTTTGTGTCCTTGAGTGCAGCCATTTTTCCTTTGCCTTTTTATTTGTAAAGACGAACTAGCTCATTGGTTCTCAAAATCCTCCATGTATGTTCCTCTGGAGAATCGCTAGCAATTGACTTCAATTTTGTTATCTGAAATTTCGGCTCATTTGTGATCGAAACAAATTCTGGAGAATCAATGATAATTATTTATGAAATGTCTGTCTCATCATTCCTATCAATGTTCCTGAATATTGAGTACCGGTTTTCAACAATTTTCAACCTTTATTTCATCAACGCATTCAAGAAGTGTTTCATCTACCTTCTATACACGTTTCATCACCGTTATAAGAGGTGGTTAGACAAAACGACTCCAAATGAGATGTGATTTTTCTCGACCGAGAATTTATAACTATGAAATATAATTAAAACTCCATGATATAAATTTGTGCAAGTTGGACCAAGTACCTACTGCATGGGAGTTTGTGAACCTTCCGACATGACATAATCGAATAAGTAGGTATAACTTTTGATAGGTGAATGTACTCATTTTGCTTAAAATTGATCATCCTTGCAATCGTCTTCAAGAGATGACCATTGGAAATATTCGGAATTTGCGCAATATATATATATATATATCTATATTTCTTTCCTTCAAACATTTTTTCAAACAAATTGTCACTGACAAGCTACTGGATTTTTCTTTTAGACTCCCTGATAGAAAAATTTGTTAAACGCAGTGACATTTTGGGGCAAATCATCTGATTTGTCCCTCTACAAATATATTGAAATAATACGAATACTTTTATTTTATAGAAACGAGGAGAGAAAATCCCAAAGAACCAAGTAAAATGAATGTACCACCTCCTCGATTAACCTACAGACAGTATTTAATAAAGTGGGTACTTACCAATCTCAATAATCTCATATCTTCTCACATCCACGCATAACCTCTGAAGAATCACAATAAACTGTTAACCTTAATGGCGTCAGACGAACTGTGAGCATACTGGCGAGTGGCGGTGGCGGACTGCCGATAGGTCAGGTTCATTCAATACGAATACTTTTGAATAATGCATCCAACGGATAGAACACGAATTTTCAGAACGTTTAATAAACGTTAAAAAAGTTGTAATTATAGAACGTGGTATTAAGGTCGCTCGAAGATATAGATGTTATTCAATAATTCATTCATCGGATCGTACAGGCTGTCCCATTTTCGATGTCCTTACGGGATATCTCGCTTAATTTTGAAGATAGAAAGTTGCGGTTTTCGCGAACGTTGGCTACTTTTTTGTAAAACTCACGAAACCGTGAACAAAATTTCCATAGCCCGCTTCGTTCCTGAGATACAGGGCGAAATTGAAAATATTGCATTTTGAGACCCCCCTTGTATCTCAGCTATCTTTCAACTTAGAGGGAAAGTAAGAACTGTTTCTTTCACAATTTTTCACGTATAATCCAGTGGCGTAGTCAGATTTTTTAAATGAGCTGTCGTTATTTAGATATAACCCAAAGTTATGTTTTTTTAAATAGAACACCCTGTATGTTTTTCAATATTTGAAACAAGAAAGCTTTGCGCTTTTCAAAAATATATAACACTTATATGATATTTCGAGTATAAGTCCTGTATTTGGGTAATTTTCAGTTTTTTATGTAGGTTTCTTATCAATAGGCCTTGTAAAAATGTGGCAACATTATCCACTTCACAAATTTTCATATTTCCCTTATTGCTGACACAGTGTTTCGTCACACACTCACCACATTTACCAATATTCAGTACTATTGATTGCCTATGAAAGCTGTGGACCTAATTAGTAGGTAGCTATGAAAAAAATAACACAAATGCAGATTGTTTACAATTCTTGTCACCTACCTGTCAAAGTTTACAAATTTTTCATACAATGGCGAATAATAATCCAGGATATCAAAACTACGAGAAATTAGATATGGTTGGAATATATTACCAAGTTGGCTTCAATGCAAATCAAGCGAAGGACCTATATTTTGAAAGGTATTTACTATCTCCCAATTGCTGGGTATCAGTTAGTTACAATATGATAAAAAATTTAGGTATCCCGAGAGGAGACAACCAAGTAGGAAAATATTTGGCAGACTGAAAGAAAATTCGGAAAATTTTGGATCTTTTGAGAAGCCTAGACCAAAAAGTTATAGGAAAGAAAATGCCGAAAACGATGAAATAAGTGTCCTTGCAAAGGTAGAAGAAAGCAATAATTATACTTCTTGCAGAGAAATTGAAGCATCATTTGGTATTTCAAAGACAAGGGTGTCCAAGATATTGAAAAAGAACAAATATACCCCCTACATACCACAAACTATTCATTATTTGTACCCGGGTGATGCTGTGAAGCGCATTGAGTTTTGTAGATGGTATATCCAGAAGACGGAAGAAAATATAAATTTTGGGCGTTCAGTAGTATGGTCCGATGAAAGCCATATAAGTAGCGCTGGAATATTTAATCGAAATAATCATCGTTATTGGTCAAATGAAAATCATCACGTTACGGTGGTTCGCCAACAGCAAGGCAGATTCGGCTTTAATGTATCTTGTTTCGTTTATGGAGGAAGACTTGCCTATCGTATTTTTGACGGTAACTTGAATCACCAAAGATATTTGGAAATTTTAGATGATTGTCTTTCTGAACTACTTGACGAAATTCCGTTGGCTCAATTTAGACACAGTTTCTTCCAACAAGATGGCGCACCTTGTCATAACGCAGGTGCCATCAGGGTTTATCTTGATGCAAGATTTCAAAATCAGTGGATTGGTAATAATGGTCCCATTCACTGGCCGCCAAGGTCCCCTGACTTATCGATATTAGATTTCTTCTTATGGGGCTATATAAAAAATAAAATATATCACACGCGGCATGAAGATCGAGATTCACTGATGAATGCTACGAGAGAAGCTTTCGAATATTTACGTATGAGACCTATATTTTTACTCCGGTCGATTGACGCTATCCTCAGAAGATGTCGGCTGTGTCTTCAACAGAATGGGCAGCAATTTGAACAAT